CCCCACCCAATGCTTCTAATCTTAAATGTCACCTGCAGTGACCAACCTCTGTAAAGCCACAAACACACAGCTGTTGGTAGGGGACTCTGGCCAGGGTGAGACTGGCACCACCCCAGGGTGACTGTGGACTCCCTGGACACCGGAAGACCTGGAAATCTCAGCAAAACAATTTCTTACTACTCACAAAGAACCTACAAGATCCCAGGAAGCAGGAAAGATTCACAACCTCGTCGGACCTCACCCAGTCGGAGCCTGCCAGGCTGGGGGCACGGTACTTCCCCCTGAGGTCCAAAGCTGCCTCACTGGTGAGACTTACCGGCCCAGCTCTGGGACTAGTTGATGCTGCCCCCAAAATCACTGAACAAAAACACTAGCTCAGGGTCCTAGATTCCTTTACTGCTCTTGTAGAGCAAGTTACCACTAATGTAGACATCGAAAACAGCACGGGTTTATTATCTCAGTTTCCGTGGGTCACGAGTCTGGTCTTGTTTTATCGGGTTCGCTGTTGGGGCCTCAGCTGCAATCCAGGCTAAGCTGCGGCCTTATCTGAGGCTCGGGGTTGTTGCCCGAATTCAGCTCCTCATGGCTGGAGCTCTTACCTCCTAGAGCCCACTCTCAAACCCAGCCACGCGACCCCCTCTCCATAGGGGCCACCCTCTGGTTTCACTTTCTCGAGGAGGGCTCACCTGATGAGGTCAGGACCACCCGATCCCTCCTTTGATTAAACTTGAAGTCAATTTATTAACAACCTGATTATGGGAGAGATGCCCCACCATATCCGCAGGTTCTGCCCACAACCCGAGGGGATTATATGTGTGCACAACAGAGGGTGGGAATCTTAAAGCAAGTCTTAAAAGACACTCCAAGAAGCAACTGCTGTGGACTTTGTGTCCAGGTTATTGCCCGACACTCAGAAACAAGAGCAACAGAAAATGGCAGGAGAGTGCTGCTAAACCTCCCTGACTAGCCAGTCATTCACCAACTGCCCCAAGAGGAAGAAGGGGACTGTATTAATATGTTCCAGATGGCTGCCCTGACAAATTACCCCGCAGCTTAGTGGCTTCACACAACACGAACAGTTCAAAAGGTCAGAATCCCAGAGCTAGTTGCATTGGGCTGAAGTCAAGGTGACGGGCAGGGCTGGCGATGGCGTGGGCTCTCGGCACAACCTGCGTCCCCTCTCCTCCGGCTTCTCAAGAGTGGCTTGTGTCCGCGTCGCTCCAGTCTCTGCTTCTGTGGCCGCATCGCCTCCCCCTCTTCTGTGGTCGAATCTCCTGCCTCCCTCTCATCGTTACCTTTGTGATCCCACCACCGGGCCCACCCAGATGATCCAGAACCAGCCCCCATCTCACGATCCCTAACTACTTCACGTCTGCTGAGTCCCCTTCTCTGTGTAAACCGACATTATTCAGCTTACCACGGTGACTAAAAGCAAAGTCACGGTTTTACAGAATGCACAAAAGTCTGTGATCCTAGAAAAATGGACATAACAGCTACAGGGGTGGGGGAAGGGGTGGAATGGGGTTTTAGAAAAGTTGGCTGTTTTTGTTGCTGGCATTCGAGGACACCCACATTGTTTCTGAGGATCATGGGAACTGAAAGTCATGAGTGCCCGAGCTGACCTCCTAATGGGAACTGTGCTTCGGACTCATCCGGATTTCTAAACAACACACTGGAACTACACAGCCCCCTTCCAGCTGGGAAAACCCGGAACCCAGCCCTCTATTGCTCTGTCCCTCACACCCCACACCAACAAGCCAGGGATTTTGGAGGCAGTGATGCCAGGTGCTCTATGTTAAGACAACTTCTCAACTCTTGCACCTTCCAAGATGGTCAACCTCGTGGGACTTTCCTATCAAAGAGTGCCTCGTGCCATCTCTCCTTATTTCAGCAAGCCCAAGGTGGTGTCATTTAAAATGCACCACCAATTCCTAAGACAAGGAATATGCTGCCAATTAATTACAAAACATCAACTCAAAGATACAACCCGATTTCAGAGACACTAAAACGTGAGGGAAAAAATTTTTGAAAAACAATACAATGTGAGGGGAAATATACATCTTTGAATCAATGGGTTTATTTTGAGTCAAAGTACAGTTAAGCCCCTCCTTTCCTGCGAACCTGTTAGGTTGTGATCTGAACAATGAGAATGTACGATGAGCCCCTCTCTACACAGGATGGATCTCGCGCTTCCTCCTGAGCTGAAGCTTTCTATCCTTCCTGCCTTAAATGAGATCCCCCCAAGCATGGAACCTGCTATTTCCATGACCCCAAGACACCATAAAATGTTTATTTCTATTTCCCTGGGGATGTGCCATGGGATGGCCAGGCAGATGGAAGTAGGGTGACTCTTGTGAAGCCCCTTCCTAAACTGCTCCACTGTTCTTTGGGTTCCGAAGCCCAAGATATCTAAATGGTGATCACAACTGAACAGGGGATCACCTACCCTCAATGGAATCCTGAAAATAAGTTTTAATTTTGGCTACTTTATAAAGTAGAGGCCACAAGGCTTCGAAGAGAAAATGCCCTTTACCTCGGACATGCTATTTCTGCAAGAGATCATCTGTGCTCAAGGTGTGTGGACCCGGTGAAACTGTCACTGAAAGATTCTTCCATTGTTACGTCCATCGCCATGGCTCTAGCTGGAGACTCAGATGCATCACCTTGATGACAGGAAAGTGAAGCAGCTTTTTCTTCCTTTAAGCAAGTTCGGATTAGCGTGCTAGGGTTGGTTAGCTCTTCCTGGTTATGGTGTGCCTTTCATTCTTTCTGACCCTTAGAAGTAGCACGCGGAGGGGGAGGGGAGGCAGACGGAGAAGCATCATGGTCATCTTTGTGCATATGAACAAAGCTGTGGAGAACGCCCTGCTGCCCATCAGGATCCACGCTTGGAAAGCACTGGTCTGTGTCCTCACGTGCACTCACGTCCTGGGACGGGCATCTTCCACCTCAGTTCTGAGCTCCTGGAACTGTGGCTGCTACATGTGTGCTTACAGCCTTCCTCCTCCAGGTGGAAACACAACACCCCTCCCGCGTCCGGCGTTCCAGAGACGGGATTTACTCCTCTGTGCTGATCACCCCCGTACTCACCGTCCTAGCTTCTGTCCTGACCCTCTACTTATGACGTGGGCAGATGGTGCATCTCTCCGTTGCCTGAGAACTACCACCCCTCTGCCAAAACACTCGGTCGACCTTAAGAACGCTGAGTCTCGAAATCCTAATCTCATATTTATGTTAAAGGGTTCCGCCAACAGGGCCAGAAACATTGGTCTCCAAGCGTGTTTGTTGTATTTTCTCAGCTCCAGATGGTGAAACTCTCCGCTGCGTTCATGATGGTCTGTGCAGCGGCTGAACTTGTCATTGCCAGAGCTTGTTCTCTTGCTTCTCAAGAATCTTTGAATATTTGGGCGCCTGGGTGGCTCAGTTGGTTAAGCGACTGCCTTCGGCTCAGGCCATGATCCTGGAGTCCTGGGATCGACTCCCACATCGGGCTCCCTGCTCGGCGGGGAGTCTGCTTCTCCCTCTGACCCTCCTCCCTCTCATGCTCTCTGTCTCTCATTCTCTCTCTCTAAAATAAATAAATAAAATCTTTAAAAAAAAAAAAAAAGAATCTTTGAATATTTATATTTATTCTCCTTTGTTCCTGGGGCTGTTGACAATTCTGAGCAACTGTCAAAAAACAGACACTTTCTTACCTCTGGAGAAGTGAAAGTGTCTAAAGGGGCTTCTGTCATGCTTATTTCTAGGTCTGGCAGGTGTCCTGCCGGCACCCTAAAAAAATGTGTAGTTCACTCAAAACATGATACTGCTATGTGTAAAGAGCTTTGGCTTAAAAACAAAACAAAACAGCGAAAGCAGAGGCAACCTTTTTCTAGGCCATTCCTTTTGCTTGCAGGGTCCTTCTGATGCTGCTTTCCTCTGAAGATGCCCCCCGCCCCATTCAAAAAGCAATCCTAGAGCCCAGCAGGGTGTCTTTTGCATCCACGTGATATTTGACGTGCCCCAGATGGCCACTTGGTGGCGCCAAAAGGTCCACTCTCTTCCCCATGTTGGTGTGGGTACTGGGGGGTGAAACTTTTTGAGTAACCCAGAGGCACAAAGCCAGAAGGGGAATATCCAGACCAAAAGGGCAGCTGATCCTCGTCCTCGAGGGCCATTTGATAATACCCATTTTATTCAGATAGAGAAAGGGTGGGGATCTGAAAACGATTTGGAGAGCACCTTGGTGGCTCCGTCATAAGCGTCTGCCTTTGGTTCAGGTCATGATCCTGGGGTCCTGGGATTGAGCCCTGCATCAGGCTCCTTGCTCAGCGGGGAGTCTGCCTCTTCCTGCCCCTCCCCCCGGCTCGTGCTCGTACTCTCTCCCTCCCTCTCACTCTCAAATACATAAATAAAATCTTAAAAAATAATAAAAATGATTTAGTTATCCTGTGCACTGCCCTGGGACGGACAGACGCATGCATACACTCGTGTGTCAAAGTCATCAACACAGGGCCCCCTAACGACATTTTATTCCCAAGGTTGGTCATCTCTGTCCACTAAGCATAAAGGGACTCAGGCATTTCAGACCAGACTGTAAGGAACTTTGAAAAGCTACAAAAGCAAATAAAAACCTCACTCAGGTACCGTTTTCCATCCAATTGGAAAAAATTGGGTACAGACAGACAGTGTTGGTGGGGACTCAAGAAACACATTCTCTCCCACGTTGTTGGGGAGGGTCTAAATTAGAACCGTATCTGTGGAAGACAGTTTGGCAAAAGTGAGCCGAATCACAAATCTGCATTCCATTTCTAGGAATATACCCTATGAATATGCTTGCACACGTGAATGTCACATTGGAGCATGGTTTGTTCTAAGACTGGAAAAAACACTTAAAACATCCATAATAGGAAGCATGAAATTATGAACATCCACACAATGGAATACTGTGCAGTAGCGAAGACGGAGAGGTCCAGGGGAGCCCCACCCGAAACCAGTGCCCAGGTCCCCAATTTGTTCACCCCTTGTGAGGCCTTCCAGCCATCCGTAATCGCTTGCTCCAGCTCCTCCCAGGTGACCATGGTGACTTCTTCTCCAGCAGGCATCAAACTCATCTTCCGGCTCACTAGGTCCTGATAGTAATAGACAACATGCAGGCAGACAGACAGACAGACACACACACACACACCCCAAGTTTAATCCCAGAAAGCTTTAGGAACAGAACTGAGCTAACAGAATCCACAGCCCTAGTCCTGAGGAGAAGTCACTGTCCTTCAAGTGACCAGTGAGATTTGGGCAGCCAGTTTCCTGTCATATGTGGGCCCCTGGTGGGATACCGGGCAGGGATGGAAAGGATTTCCCCTCAATCCAGGGATAGTGCCCAGAGGGACAGAGGGCCTCACCCAACTTTGGAGGGACACAGATATCTGGGGTGGGAGTCTGGACATCCTCCCCTACTGCCCGCTTGAGGGCCCTTTGTTACAGAACTCGCCCATATTACCAGGAATTCATCCCGTTCTCTGACTATCTTCTCTAGTACATCAATCCGTTGGAGGGCTTTCTGGAAGAAAAGTTCAGAGATGGAGGATCAAAACAGCCCCTCCTGTGGCCCCTACACATACATACATACACACACACACACACACACAGGGAAGAAGAAGAAAGGCGGTGTGTGGATCTTACAGGAGCAGGGAGTAGAGAGGGGGCTGCTAAGTCAGCTAAATTGTTTTCTTTCCAGCCAACAAGAGGCAGGAAAGTGAGGTGTGGTGGGGGACAGCGTGCCAAGAGCAAATGCTAACCCAGGGGTGGGAACCTTTGCTCCCGGGATTCACTTCATCCTACCCATGATTGAAACATTCTGGCACTGCAGAATGAGGCTGACCTCGCCTCTCAAGGACAAAAATGATCAGGTCCTTCAAGGGTGTCTGAATGGCTGTGTGGTTTAAAGAGAAAAGCATCCCAAAAGAACCAAAACAAGGGCCACCTGGGTGGCTCAGTCGGTTAAATGTCTGCCTTCCGCTGGGGTCATGATCCCAGGGTCCAGGGATAGAGTCCCACATCGGGCTCCTCGCTCAATGGGGAGTCTGCTGCTTCCCCTGCTTGTTCGGGCACTACCAAAACAAATTGCTAAACTAAAGTTGTTCCATATGACTTCTGCAAACCTCCGGAAAGTAGGAATCTAAAGGTAAAACAAGCCCTTGGTCAAAAAATCAATCAATCTAAAAACACCACACTTCGAAAAGAAAAGCTTCCCAGGGCAAAGGTGAGTCCCACTTGGGGCTCAAGGCCTGGGATGAGGGGCAGAACGGGGGCAGGAGCCCCCGTGGCCTCCCTCAGCCTCTCCCTGGGCTTCTTCCTAACTGCCCCTCCTCCTCCTTCCAGCGCTAAGCCCCTGGGTGGCTTCCGGAGAGCCTGAAATAAGAGCACTGCCCAGTGCTTTGGGGCCCTACTGTTCATCTGAAGGGGGTTCTACTTCTTTCTCCAAGAAAACAAAGATCCAAGTGAAGGTGTGGCTGGGGGTCTGAGAAGGGGCGGCGGAGTGCTAAGGACAGGCACTGCAGGGGAAGGGGGCGACTCCGCGATCCGCGAGGTGGGGTCCCCGCCGTCCCTCACCACAAGGCTCGACTCCGGGAGCTCCTGCGCCTTTTCCTGGGCTTCTTTGAGGGTTTTCACGTCCTCCACTACATCGTGCAGCAGCTCCATGGCCTGCAAGGTGGACACGGGGCCGTTCCGAGGCCTGGCGCGCCGCCACCACGCCCGCGCCTCCCTTCCCGCCCCCGGGGAGCGGCCTGTGGGCTCCGCCCCCTCCCCCTCCCCCGCTCCCCCCGGTTCCGCGCTCACCTGGGAGACCTGGGAGACCGTGGCCCGCTCGCCCTTTGCGATTTTCAACGACCCTGCTCGTGCCCGTGCCGGCGTCCGCTCGGCCGCCTCCTCCTCCAGCCAGTCCCGGGCGTCCTGCTCGCCGACGGGAGCCGTGAGGTGCTGCACGTGGCTCACGATGCCCTGCACCTGGCTGGTGACGGTCTTGAGCTGCCTGCTGAGGTCCTGGACCTGCCCGCCCAGGCCCTTCACCTGGCTCTCCAGCGCCGCCGCCACCGTCGCTGGCTTGGCCAAGCTGCCGCGCGGCTTCTCTTTGGACACAGCCAGCTGCGGGGCGCTGAGCACGGCCTGCGGGCGCTCCACGGCGCGGCTCGGCTCCGGCTCCGGCTCCGGCGACGGCGACTGGAAGTCGATGCGCACCTCCTGCAGGTTGAGGCTCCGGAGCATGGCCACGATGAGCGTGTGCAGGGCCGTGAAGTTGACGGCGCCCACCTCCGGGGTGCCGATGGCCAGGTCGGCCAGCTCCCGGAGGGAGACCGTAGTGGCGGCCGCCGTGGCGGGCGGCATCGTGCGCCCTCTCAGCAGCGGTCCGCGCCCTCGGCCGGCCGGGCAGCCATGTCCCCCTCACTGCCCCCCGCGCCCCTAGGCGCTCTCCGGGGCACCAGTCACTGTCTGCCGGCCGCCGGGCTTCCCACCCTCTGCTCCTGGGGACACCCGCCTACCCTCCGCCGCCCAGTCTCCGAGCTACAGCCCTGGGCCGCCCTCCCCTCGCGCCGGGTCGCGGCCAGCGGACGTTTGGAACGGGAGGGACTGCCCGTTCGCTGCCCGGTAGCGCGGGACCCCGCGCGCCCCCAAGGGTTCTGCGGAAGAACTGGCGCCGTCTAGCCGGCCGGGACCTGCCCATACGCGAAGCCACCCCCCAACTCGCAAGGGGAGCCCATCCGAGCGGGGTCTGGGGAAGGCTTGGCCATACCCCAAGGCACCACAAATTGTTACTATCAGTTATCGCTCCTAAAGGGGCTACGGGGCTGGGTCAAGGCACTGCTGTGGGAACACAGCAGTTTGGGGAGGCGAGGCGTCCTATGGCTCACCTAGATTCCAGCCGTCCCTTAACCTAGGAAGGCCTCCCATTCATTCAGCCACTAAGAACAGGACATGTAAGAGACACCATGTGTGTCCTTAGCCTGTTTTCATTATTTAGGGCAGTGGCACATTATCTAAGGGATGCAGTCCTGAGACCTCGGCCTTTTGGGGACAGTTCCCATCTCATTTTGCTTCATCAGAAAGGAGGGTAACTTGGAAAAGACCACTCGCCACCCAGGCAGCTCCAATGCGTCACCAGATGACAGACCTTCACTGTGCCACCCTGGCTTAGTTTATCTCAAAACAGACTCATCTGGTCAGGTGCCAGCATTTCAGCTCATCCCAAGGCAGGATTAGACAAGACTAGAGGAATTTGGTGCTCTCAGCAACTGGGGCTTGACTTCCCCACACCAGATTCTTCCAGAAAATGTAAAATGTCAGTGTTTACATGCAGGAAAGCTAAGGAAAACCTGCACAAAAATCTGTACCATGTACTCCTATTTTAACTACTTCTCAAATTCAAACTTTTAGTCTGTGTTGGTAAAATGTAATGGAAACCCTTCGTGCCCCTCGTCCCCAAGTGTTGCCTGGGAGTGGAGTTAAACATCAGTCTGGAACCTCCAGGAAGGTTAACACCTGAGGATTTTTGTTCACCATCATAGTCCCAGCGCCTGACACTCAGTGGGGCCTTCACGTGCTTGCTGATACCATCAAAAGAACAGATTCGGGCGCCTGGGTGGCTCAGTCGGTGAAGCGACTGCCTTCGGCTCAGGTCATGATCCCAGGGTCCTGGGATCGAGTCCCACATCGGGCTCCCTGCTCCGTGGGGAGCCTGCTTCTCCCTCTCCCACTCTCCCTGCTTGTGTTCCTGCTCTCGCTGTCTCTGTCTCTGTCAAATAAATAAATAAAATCTTAAAAAAAAAAACAGATTCTTTGCAGCCTTGTGCACTTAGGCTTTTACCCCATAAAACAAAAGGCTGGATCACAAAGTTAAAGCCTTATAGTGGGGCATCCACGGTCCTAGAGGGTGTGGAACGTGAGCTTCTTGATTCTAGGTTCGGTGACTTTCCAGAAGGATGTTATCCCTGCTACTACTGTGCTGGCGCAGGCCGGAATCTTAACTCCCGGAATCCTCACGACTTCATCTGCATATGCCTGAGACCTGGCCTCATGCCAGGCACATATTAGGACCCACTAAGGGCCCATGGAAAGGGTGTATCTGAATATATTCTACTTCTAATCCCAGGAAATATATTCTACTAAATAAGTACATAGAAACACCTCTGTTCTTATAGACACAGGAAAATAAACATTAACTGGATGTATAAATGGAATTTTGGAGTTGAAAAGGACCTCCCTCAGCTGTCAGTTCCAAACCTCCCTCTTTATACCTGATGAGAGGCCCAGAAAGGACTAGTTGTCTGCCTGGCCATACGAATAAAACTAGGTCTCCTGAGTAATAGTCCACAGCTCTTCCTCCACCACCATGCTATCTGATAATTAAGTTCTTGCTCAAAATGCCCCTACTTGGACTATTAACAGAAGAGAAGGCAACTTGTGTGCTTGAAAAAGCTAGTGTGCTCAGTCTTGATTGTGGCTTGGGAACTTTTCAAGTCATTAGGAAAGGGGTGAAAATGTCAAGGAAACGTCCCTGCAGAGAAATTTAATTGTACAAAGTAGCGAATTGTCCTTTACTATCCCTCAGGAACAGAAGCAATTCCAGCTCATTGCCCAACAGACAGGCTCTGCTCCTTCCCATTACATTCAGTCCTGCCCAGAGCAGGCTGAAGGTTTAAAAGGCCTACCTGACAAATGTGCTATAAACCAGAGTAATTTTAAATGCTGGGTAGAAAGGTCAAGTGCAGTCCTGAGCAATGCCTAACATTGTCACCTATCACACAGGAAAAAGTATAATTCATTCCATTTTTTAAAAATTTCGATTTTTAAATCCATTATTCCAACAAGGATTTGACTTTGATGTTTAGGAAGGGGATGGAACCTACAGGCGGAGACTCCTGTCCAGGGCTCGGGACCAGCCGTGGACCTGGAACACCCTTTATTTTGCACCCGTTGTCTTCTGCACCGTCTGGACAGAAGTCAGTCACCTCTAAGGCAGGGGAGCAGGCGGTTCTGCAATAGAGTGAGCAGACTTGCAAGACAACAAATTCTTTTATTTGCCATTGAAGAGCAACGCAGGTATCCAGAGATAGGGTGTACTCTCTAATCTGACCTCCTCGCTGGGGTAATGCCACAAAGGCTTTGTTGTTCAGTGGCTGTAGGCACAGCAGCTTCTCAAAGAAAAAGAGGGTTTCCTACAAAGACTTACGTGAGGCTGACGGGGGAGAGGACAACTAGAATGGAAACAGTACCAGGGCACTCAGCTTCCCTAACCAAGTTCAATGCTGACACACATTTCCCTGCGGTAGAAATACCCGAATGTTACAGAGCTAAGACTATCTGCCCTTAACTCCTTTTCAGTATCAACAAAATTTGGGGATTCTTTTCAGGAAAGCGTCTGTAACTTTTGTTTAAGGAACAGGATGGCGATGGCAGACATTTAAGGCCATTTATCCATCAGCTCTGTCTTCCCCTTGACTATCTTAATGCCTCCTACCTACCCAACTTGGTGAGACAGACTATCTGACTTCAGGCTATTTCCAGGCCTCCCTTGAGAGGAAACCCTGTGTACATAGGTTGATGGCACTGCTCTCCACACGTTTGCCTTATGAGTTCCACGGTCAAGGCAACAGGGACAGCTAGTCATCCACAGTGATGTTTCGGAAAAGGTACGCCATGGACTCCCCATTGTGGATTCTCCGAATTGCTTCAGAAAGAATCAGACTGATATCCACAGTCTTTATCTTGGGACACTGCAGCTTCTGCACCTCGTGAGGGACAGTGTTCGTCACCACCACCTAGTCATTGCAGCAGTGGAAGATAAGCACTGTTACTGATGTGTCCCCAACGTGGTCACCCAGAAAAGTCTGTCCCACATTTAGTTCCCACAGCCCAAGTTCCAAACTACAAAACCTTATTCCACCGAGTATAGTTTTTACAAACCAAACTTAACTGACCTTATACAAGAAACAGGTACATGGTTCAAAACATAAGATTACCAAGGTCACGGTCTACTTATGCAGAAATGGTAGGGCGAGCCCCGGCACCGTGCAGAACGGGAAGAATCCAAGTCTTGAGAGAAATGCTACCAAGGTACCGAACTATACTGAGACACGAACCATACCGAAGTACGTAAAGCGAACCTTTATGAAAATAGACATCTATTCCTAACTATACATCTGTCCCAACACACTGCTAGCCACCAGGGGCTAGAATTACTTCAGAGGTCCTCCGGAGAGGGGTTAAGCAACACTGATGGAATCATTTTACTATTCACAGAAAAGAGAGCAGCAAAGTCTAGGCCCATTAAGCGCAGACAGACCTCGTCAATGGAGGACTCCTCGATCAGGCGGGGGGCCTCCGCAGACAGGATGCCGTGAGTGGCCATGACGTAGATCTTGTAAGCACCTCTCTCTTTCAGGATCTCCGCAGCAGCAACAAAACTTTCCACATCATCAATAATGTCATCCTGAGGAGAGACCAGAGTGAGTAGTAAGGAGCTACCCTCTGTCTCTATAAACACACTCCTCTTTGCTCTTCTTTGCACTTTGTTTCAGAGGATCTCCAAGTGGAGATCAGAGCCACCTGCCTGGGCCCAAGATAGCACGTCGGGCAGGGGCAACAACCGTGTGGACTGTGCTTTGCGTGGCTGTCAGTACAAAGAGCAGCAAAGCCTGGCAGTCACATGTGACATGCACAGCTGGAGTTCTAGACTGCCAAGACTCATTTCCCTGTTGCACACTTCTGATTAACCCGACATACCTGGTGTCCCATTTACTTTTTCTCAAGACAAAGTGAGATGACAAGAACACAGAAATAAAGCAAACCATTGTAATCAGGCCCAGCAAAGGCATTTAGAGCGGGGAGCAAACAGATCATGCTGAAGTACGAAGAATGAGACACTTGTTCTCATTAGTGAAAATGGAACCGCTCATCTTTAGTTCCTCACGTGGCCCTAAAGCTGGAGGTTGAGTAGGGTAGGTCAGCTGCTCTGGTGGAACCTAGACCCCTTAAGACAAAGCTTATTTATTGGGGTTGGAATTTTCTTACAGGAGATCCAATGCTCTTTTTACATCTATCTGTAGGTTATAATAATCCCTGTTCAACTACATAAAAATTTCTACTTGTCCTAAAGGAGTTTGGGTGAGAAAGGACAGACGGATCCATTTAACTCCATCATCTTTACTAGAAATGTAATCCCAAAGTGGACAAGCCACAAAGGGCCAGCAGTGCCATCCGTGCACACGGAGGGGGACACACGACCGTACCACTATGATTGCGATGCGCCCGCCAACGTCTCCGACTACGGTTATCGGTGGCTTCTCTTTGGCCATCATCACTAGCAAAATAAAACAAACCACAAGATTCTAGTTAGTCATGTGTCACTAAATAAATATAATTGCAACCCCATTCCCTGGAAGCAGTGAAAAAAAAATTATTAAAAAAAAACAAAAAACAAAGGGCAACCCTCTTGGGTCTCCTCCCTCCTCAGGAGCTTTGTACTATCACTTTGCTGTCACTCAATAAACCTTGTTTTGCTGCCCACTCCCCCCAATCAATCAATCAATCAATAAGGCGGGGGGGGGGGCGGAATTCTCCAAAATGAATCTGGGGTCTCCCAGAAATAGATTTTCTAGGGGCGCCTGGGTGGCTCAGTCATTAGGCATCTGCCTTTGGCTCAGGTCGTGATCCCAGGGTCCTGGGATCGAGTCCTGCATTGGGCTCCCTGCTCAGCGGGAAGCCTGCTTCTCCCTCTCCCACTCCCTCTGCTTGTGTTCCCTCTCACGCTGTGTCTCTCTCTCTGTCAAATAAAATCTTTAAAAAAAAAAAAAGAGAAATAGATTTTCTGGAGCAGTGCTGTCCAATACAAACAGGTGAGCCATATGTAATTTTACATTTTCTAGAAGCCACATTAAAAAGTAAAAAGAGGGGCACCTGGCTGGCTCAGTCAGTGGAGCATGCAACTTTTGATTTCAGGTTGTGGGTTTGAGCCCCATTGGGTGTAGACATTATTTAAAAATAAATTTTTTAAGATTTTATTTGTCAGAGAGAGAGAGCATAAGCAGGGGGAGAGGCAGGCCGAGGGAGAAGCAGGTTCCCCGCTGAGCAAGGAGCCTGATGTGGGGCTCGATCCCAGGACCCTGGGATCATGACCTGAGCCGAAGGCAGACAGACGTTCAACCGACTGAGCCACCCAGGGCGCCCCAAAAGTAAAATCTTTAAAAAAAAAAAAAAAAGTAAAGAGGGACGCCTGGTTGGCTCAGGTAGTTAAGTGCCTTTGGCCAGCTCCCTCTCCCTCAGCCTGCCGCTCCCCCTGCTTGTGTGCACTCTCTCTCACAATAAATAAAAATCTTAAAAAAAAAAAAAAAGTAAAGAGAAATGAGTGAAATTAATAGATTTTATTTTACCTGGCATATCCAAGATATTTCAGTATGTAAGTGAGATGCAAATCTATTAGAGATATTTTACCTTTTTTTCATACTAAGTCTTCAATATCTGGTGTGCACTTCACAGAGACAGCACTTCTCAGTTGAGACGAGCTGGCCATGTTTCAAGAGCTTAAGGGCCACATGTAACTACCAGCCACCGGTCTTCAGACAGCACAGGTCTAAAGACTGAGTGGCAGAGTGAGGAAGATCTTACCACACACAGAAGCAGCACTGCAATGCCAGGCAAAAGAGAAATAATCTGACTCTCGCTAAGACTGATAAATGTAAAATATCACTGATAATTACTGATAACGTAAAATAAACGCCACTCTGTAGAAAACCAAACAGGTAAAGGCTGCCAGACAGAGAGCCAGCTTTACTTCATTTTCTTTTATTTTTTATTTTTATTTTTTTTAAAGATTTTATTTATTTATTTGACAGAGAGACAGACAGAAGAGCACAAGCAGAGGGAGTGGCAGAGGGAGAGGGAGAAGCAGGCTCTGCACTGAGCAGGAAACCCGATGCGGGACTCGATCCCAGGACCCTGGGATCATGACCTGAGCCGAAGGCAGACGCTTAACCATCTGAGCCACCCAGGCGCCCTACTTCATTTTCTTCCAAAGTGACTTTATTTGGACAATGTAACCTTATTATCACATAACTACACGACTGACATCATAAATTTCCTGAAAATCAGGGACGTGAAGACAGTAACTATGACTCCATCATTTCTTCCTGATTTTTTTTTAAAGCTTTTATGTATTTATTTGAGAGAGCGCGTGCGCATGAGCAGGGGAGGGGCAGAAGGAGAGGGAGGAGCAGACTCCCCGCTGAGTAGGGAGCCCCAACGCAGGGCTCGATCCCAGGACCCTCAGATCATGACCTGAGTGGGAGGCAGACCTGTAACCGACTGAGCCACCCATGTGCCCCCATTTCTTTGTGATTTGACTGACCCTTAAAGTATGGGCTTCCTATCTCACTACCTAATTTATACCTGGAAAAGGCCCATCCATGTACAGACAACTCCAGGATAGAGAAGGGAAGTAAGAATTCACCCTCAAGGAGCACCTGGGTGGCTCAGTCGTTGAGCGTCTGCCTTCGGCTCAGGTCATGATCCCAGGGTCCTGGGATCGAGTCCCACATCAGGCTCCCTGCTCTGCGGGGAGCCTGCTTCTCCCTCTCCCACTCCCCCTGCTTGTGTTCCCTCTCTTGCTGTTCCTCTCTCTGTCAAAATAAATAAATAAAATCTTAAAAAAAAAAAAAGAATTTACCCTCAAAAGAAGGTTAGCAAACAGAAAGAGAAAGAGAGAATTTCAGAAGAACAGCCTAAGTATTCTTTTAAAGCTTTTTATTATTCTGAAATATTAAACCAGCAGTGGGAGAGGGACACAAGAATAAAACTCAAAGTAATTCTCTAGTTTAGCAACTATCAGCAAATAAACCACTTTAGCAGATTCCTATCTACAGGTACTGTGAATTTCAAAGAACAGGTGTGCCTTTCTACATACCAGCACATTGGCCAAGCTGAAGTCCAGCACTATTTTACTGGCAAATTTCAATCAACATTTCCTGATTTCCCATCCCAGAAACAAGGGCAATTTTTTGAATTTGGGCAGTCAAAAAGCTCTGCATACAACTACCACTTAAAAGAAGGAGAAGATAAACCACAAACATTAGGAAAGGCTTCCCTAAATTCTGTCTTAAATTAAGCCATGTGGGGGGCACCTGGGTGGCTCAGCCGGTCAAGCGTCTGCCTTCAGCTCAGGTCATGATCCCAGGGTCCTGGGATCAAGCCCGGAGTCCAGCTCCCTGCTCAGTGAGGGAATCTGCTTCTCCCTCCCCCTCTTTCCCTCTGCGCACCCCCCCACCCCCGCTCATGCTCTTTCAAATAAATAAAATCTTTTTAAAAATTAATTAATAAAACCATTTGGGTAGATGGCTGTGTTGACCTACCCACTTCTCAAAGAGATGTGGTCCCTTTTCTTGACCATTTTCCTCTGTAAAAAGAGAAAAAAATTGCAAACCAGTATCCCTCATCAAAGACCAAGAAAAATTCAACTCTAGTTTGATGAGGAAAACATGTCACAGTGCTCCTGTTTACTTTTCTGTTAATTCTCCTTCTCCCAAAAAGCTTCTATCAGTTTGGAATGAAAAAACACAGGCATGGCCAGGACAGAAGCTTAAAAGGCTTTTAAAAAGCAAGCCTCTCTCCCGGTATGTTCATTCTCTGCTCATTACTGGTTTTAGGATCTGGATAAAACTGAACATACAATTTGGTGGCTACTAAAAAACAGAAACAGACTTTATTAGTAGGGTGAAGGGAAATGAACAGTACCCCATAGGCTCTTTTTTTTTTTTTTTAAAGATTTTATTTATTTATTTGACAGAGAGATAGAGAGAGAGCACAAGTAGGCAGAGAGGCAGGCAGAGGGAGAGGGAGAAGCAGACTCTCCACCGAGCAGGGAGCCCGACGTGGGGCTCGATCCCAGGACCCTGGGATCATGACCTGAGCCGAAGGCAGCCGCTTAACCGACTGAGCCACCCAGGTGCCCCCCCCATAGGCTCTTAAAAAAAAAAGTCCCAAATTTTCTAATACGTTGCCCCAAAAATAAAACTCTGAAAATTCAAAATTTTCAGTAGAAGTAAGATATGTACTGGAGATTAAGGATAAAGGATGCTAAAACTACCCTATGTTTAAGATTCTGTTCCCTTTCTTCATTTTCTCAAACAAAACCCAATCTGTTTAAGAATAAAATGAATTGTGTACCATTACTTATGGCCAGGAATCACAAACTACATCAACTTACTGTAGTGAAAATGTCAATTTATGAAGTGACCTCAAATCTTGGAGGAAGTAGGAAATTATCTTTTGCTTTTAAAGTTAGCATTTTCTACATAAAATAACACTGCATTCACAACCATCCTTAAGTTTTACACAGTCTCTTTCACTCTCTCCCCAGAGTCAATTAACCAAACCTTCCTCTCTTAGAATATAGGATGAGAAAGGACCAAGAGGAATTACTCATTCCTTATCCATTTTGATTTTGGTCTATTTTTAGTTCAGTGGAAGGTCAAACTTTATCAACAGACTGACATTAAAAAGAGATAGAATGAAATAAAGTCTCCAGTAGGACTGGAACTAAAATTATTCTCAAGCTCATGACTTTATCCACGTGCAAGCAAATCAAAACTGACATCTAGTAGATGCTCAAGAGGAGCTAATGTCTGCAACGACGTGGATGGAACTGGAGGGTATTATGTTGAGCGAAATAAGTCAATCAGAGAAAGACATGTATCATATGACATCACTGATATGAGGAATTCTTAATCGCAGGAAACAAACTGAGGGTTGCTGGAGTGGGGTGGGAGGGATGGGGTGACTGGGTGATAGACACTGGGGAGGGTGTGTGCTCTGGTAAGCGCTGTGAATTGTGCAAGACTGTTGAATCTGTACCTCTGAAACAAATAATGCAATATATGTTAAGAAAAAAAAAAGAAGAAGAAGGTAGCGGGAGGGGAAGAATGAAGGGGGGGAAGCCTGAGGGGGAGATGAACCATGAGAGACGATGGACTCTGAAAAACAAACTGAGGGTTCTAGAGGGGAGGGGGGTGGGAGGATGGGTTAGCCTGGTGGTGGGTATTGAGGAGGGCACATTCTGCATGGAGCACTGGGTGTTATGCACAAACAATGAATCATGGAACACTACATCTAAAACTAATGATGTAATGTATGGGGATTAACATAAGAATAAAAAAAATTAAAAAAAAGAGGAGCTAATGTCTGTTTTCACTTTAGTGGTGAAAACCACATCTTCACTTGTAAAATTATCAAGCCAGGAAAATCAAGCCAAAAAAGGTGACTTTCTCTCCTTTTTGCGATCCAAACTCTTAATTTTCACCACTGTGGCAAGCACAGAGCAGTGTTTAGAGAACCACTGACATATAATCCTTTCAAGGTCATTAGATGCCCTTGCCATCAGGATAGAATGAATTCTACCTTACAGAACAGAAAAATTTATACAACTCCACTTTTGATTTCTCAACTTCGGCACTACCGACATTCTGGCCTAGAGAACTATTTGTTACACTTGAAGGACGTTCCGCGGCTTCTCTGGCATCTACACAAGATGCCCGTGGTACCCTCCCTCCAGCTGGGTGGAGAGACCAGGAACGCCTTCAAACATTGTGAAATATCCTCGGGGCGGGGGGGGTGGGGGTGGGGGGGGGGACGACACAAAACCAAAGATTCTGAGAGTGAATACTTTTGGTCTTGTCCTAGCACTCCAGTATCTTCAACTTCATGACTATTTTATTTTATTTGAGAGAAAGAGAGTGCATGCGTGCGGGCAAGCAGGGGGAGGGGCAGAGGGAAAGAGAATCTCAAGCAGATTCTGTGCTGAGCTGGGAGCCCAACTGGGAGCTTGATCCCACGACCTTAAGATCATGACCTGAATCAAAACTAAGTCAGTCACTTAACCGACTGAGCCACCCAGGCACCTCTTCATCCTCATTACTATTTTTTAAAAGATTTTATTTACTTATTTGAGAATGAGTGAGCGCACACACAAGCAGGGGGAGGGGCAGAGGGAGAAGGAGAAGCAGGCTCCCCACTGAGCAGGGAGCCCGATGCAGGGCTGGATCTCAGGACCCTGAGATCATGACCTGAGCTGAAGGCGGATGCTTAACTGAATGAGCCATCCAGGCACCCCTCATTCTCATTACTATGAAGTAAACTATTATAACATACTGGAAGCATAACTGATATATAAATATAAAGCATATTTAATTTGGAAAGTACAATTACACAAAACTAGCATTTTTTTTAAAGCATTCCCTTGCCCAAATCTGTAAGAAGGAATCAGAGAATGATCCTATGGCAACTGTAAAAGTTGTAATGTAAACACACTAACAGGTCTATGAGGGAACACACTGCTGTACAGCACCATATAAAATATTACACTAATTTGGCAATATCTATCAAAATAACCTTTGACCCAGTAATTTTATTTCTCGGTCTTTATCCTGTAAGTACACTGAGTCACTTATGAAAGAACATAAGTCAAGGTGAGTCACAGGGACTAACATGTGGTGACTGAGTGCATACTCCAAAGCCCACATCTTGGTTTGTAAATACCACTTTCCACTAAAGGAACTGGGGCTGCTCGTTGAAATGATGATTCCACAGCTAAGAAAGTACAAGATAAATATGGAACATCTAGTTGGACCAGGAAGTATCAAAAAATGATACGAACATGTCAAAAGAACACAGAGAGGGGCTTGAAGAGGCTCCCTCTGGCCAAGTCTAAGACAATATGAACATTACAATAAATAGCATTGGATTAGAACACCCTGAATAAATTAACATTCTATGAATCCACTCTGATATAAGTGAATGAATAGGGAAGAAGGGGAATTGGAAACATCACCACTTGATCACAATCATAGTAATAACTGATTCAACCTAATATGAGAAATAAGCCTCAATAAAGAGATATTCTATAGAAAAACTGGCCTGTATTCTTCAAAAATATCAAGGTGATGGGGTACCTGGGTGACTCAGTCATTAAGCATTTGCCTTCAGCTCAGGTCATGATCCTAGGGTCCTGGGATCGAGCCCCACATTAGGCTCCCTGCTCGGCGGGAAGCCTGCTACTCCCTCTCTCACTCCCCCTGCTTGTGTTCCTGCTCTCGCTATCTCTCTGTCAAATAAATAAAATCTTAAAAAAAAAAAAAATATCGGGAGGGGGGTGGGAGGATGGGTTAGCCTGGTGGTGGGTATTGAGGAGGGCACATTCTGCATGGAGCACTGGGTGTTATGCACAAACAATGAATCATGGAACACTTCATCTAAAACTAATGATGTAATGTATGGGGATTAACATAAGAATTAAAAAAAAAAAATCAAGGTCATAAGAGACCAAGAACAGAGGAGCCGTTCCAGATTATATGAGACTAAAGAGAAAGGTCAACTGAGTCCGATGTGTGATTTTTATTGGGTTCTAGGCCAGAAAGAAATGATTTTCCTTTGCTCTAAAGGATGCAGTGGGACAACTGGTAAAATATGAATACGGTCTGCAGATTAGGTGATAGTATCGTAACAATGTCAGTTTCCTGAGTCTGATAATTACACTGTGGTTATGTAAGAGAGTATCTGTTTTTTGAAATATTTACTGAAGCATTTAGGAATACAGGACATTATGTCCACAACTCATCTCAAATGGTTCAGAAGAAAAGAGTATGTATATAAATGTTAAATCTGGGGCCTCTGAAGAGTAGAGAGGAATTCTGTATTATTCTTTCAACTTTTCTCTAAGACTGCAGTTTGTTCAAAAGAAAAAGCTTCGTTCCAAACCCCAGCTCCACCAGCTCCCGGCTGTGCTCAGTTGCCTCACTGGCAGAATGAGGGATAACACAAGTACCTACAAGATTGTGTGAAGTCTGAAGATCTACTAAAGAGCTTAGAAAACTCTTGACACAGAAGGGCTCAAAAGATGTTTATTATTGGCGCTTTTTCATAGCCAAAGACTGGAAAAACTCACATGTTCGTCAACAGGGGACTGATTAAGAAAATTTTTGTCTATCCATAAAATAGAACACTCACGAAACTGTAAAAGACTGAGAGAGCTGTACAGATTGATGGGGAAGGAGCTCTTGAATGAGAAAAGCAAGGGGTAAAACAATGTGGTTTAATATACTCCTGCTGTGTGAAAATGAGACAAAGAGAAATACATTATTTGCCTGCATATGCATAGAGCCTCTAAATGGATATAAGAGACCAACTACACTGGGTATCAGAGTAGCTGGTTGGGGGGCAGGGGGAAAGAAAAGTTTAGGTGGGGTAGGAAAGTTTTTTACTATAAAGAATTTTATACTTCTTAAATTTTGAAATATGGAAATATATTGCCTAGTCAAGAACTTTAATTATGAAATCCTCAAATAAAATAAAATGCTACAATACCAAAAATTTAAATTAAAAGAGTTGATTACTTGTTTCTCTTGTATAAAAAACCTCCAAAGTTTACACCGTAGACAGGAGCCTGTCTGGGGTATAACCATGCTGGTATTCCCCGCCCCCCCCGTTAATCTCTGTATGTTTCTGAGCTATGGCAAATAGATACAGATTTTAAAAAGAAATAATTTCCTTCCTCTAAAAAATATACTGTTATCTTCCAGTATAGAATGCCAGTTATTATTCCACTCAAAATCCATGGAAATAAATAGCCTCCACACTCCTGGATTAATAACAATTTAGTCAGGGGGCACCTGGGTGGCTCAGTCGGTGAAGCATCTGCCTTCAGCTCAGGTCATGATCTCAGTCCCAGGATCGAGCCCCACACTGGGGTCCCTGCTCAGCGGGGAGTCTGCTTCTCCCTTTCCCTCTGCCCCTCCCCCTCCTCTCTCTCTCTCAAATAAATAAATAAAATCTTTAAAAAAAAAATTAAAAAAATAACAACTTAGGGATCAGGTCAAAGGGTTGTATTACTAAAATAAGTGTTAGAAGTTACCTGGATCACCAAAGCCTGGTGTATAATCAACGGCTGCTATCGCCCACCTTACCAAAATATAAAAGCTTAAGATTTCACACCTACAATTTTTTCACTAAAGCTAAAATTACTTCATACTCTCTGAATGCTAAGTGCTACCCAGATTAGTTCAATTGTCCTTACACAGTCTGTGACTGTAATGCCACCTCCTTTTACAAAAGGGGAAATCAATGTAATACCATTCAATTATCTAAAAAAACCAAGATGGGGTGCCTGGCTGGCTCAGTCAGAAGGGCATGTGACTCCTGATCTCAGGGCTGTAAGTTCAAGCCCCATGTTGGGTATAGAGATAACTTAAAAATAAAAATCTTTAGGGGAGCCTGGGTGGCTCAGTCGGTTAAGCATCCGCCTTCAGCTCAGGTCATGATCCCAGGATCCTGGGATCAAGCCATGCGTGGAGCTCCTTGCTGGAGGGGAACCTGCTTCTCCCGCTCCTCCCAGCTCAGTGCTCTCTCTTTCTAATAAATAAATAAAAATCTTTAAAAAAATTAAAATTTAAAAATTAAAAAAAATCTTTAAAAAAATAAAATAAATTTAAAAAAATACCAAAATAGCATACATCCATATATGTATTAACTCCTAACCATTCATATTACTCAAAACTTTCTTCAATTTGCAAGTGAAATAATAGAGCTCATCTTACACGGCAACTCCAGACCCGGGTGGACAGTAGCATTTTTGACCATCGGGGGAGAATGGCGACCGTCATCCATGTCCAGCTCTGTACACTGGGCTTCACCGTGAATCACAGCTAACCCCAGACGGAGTCTCTCAGCGTATGATTGGGCCCTACGAGAAAGACAAGAAACGGGGAAATTCACGGGAAGAAAACCCAAGTGTTGCCATCTCATCACTATTAATCATCAAATGAAAACATAATTCAAACTTTTAGGGACACGCAAATGATTTAGACAAATCAGAAGATGAGGCCCAGACCAGAATGTAAATGCCTCAAGAGGAACAGTGAGGCACAGGAGACGTGGGCCAGCATCTGATTCTAGATAATTTCGGTTCTACCCTTTGTCCAATATTGTAACACTCATCTTCAGAAGATGGAACTTTGTTCAAAAAGATCTCTTAAAAAACTACTGCCTAAAAAACGCTCATAGCCCTCCGCTGTCCTTTTCCTGAGAACCTGAAGGAAGAAGAACTTCCTTTTCTCCCACAGGAAAACCGAGTAACTCAGGGACCGCCTTGTATTGTTTGGAGAATGGCGATAAAGCCCTGGTGGGGAACAGGACAATAACATGGGGGAAGTTGGAGCCAATGAGTTTTTCCAGGCAATGTGACAACAGACCCTGAGTTCCAAAACAGCTCATTTTGACTTGAGAAGCTCCCGAAAGGAATTTTTATGAATGTCCAACTTCCTTACCTTTTGGCAGCATCAGGAGACTTAGCCACAATGACTGCATTCCTGTAATTCGGAATCTAGATTTGAAGGAAAAATAAGAAAATACTGAGAAGTTATCACAAACTAACACCTGGGTGCTGGTATGACACTTTTTCCTCTCATAACAATGATCCATACTAGCAAGCAAGTAACACTAGAATTTCATGGACACGTTTAAAATTTAACACTTAACAATTAACATCATTGCAAAAGTACTGCTACTTCAAGAAGATAAAAAATAATTACTTCTTAACACCTTCATTTAAGAAAACATAAGCAAATTGCTAAAGATACTTAGAAGGAAATCCGTTTTTAATGGCTTTAAAAAAATGATCCTCCATGCCTACATGCTGACCCTATCTGGCTGCCTCAGGCATTGAGACTTAAGGGAAAGATCATCTGATGTGCCTTTCAATATTGAAATCTGATACCAGAAAAAAACTACATAGGGTCTCTTTTGAGGACAATGGGGTGTTTGCTGGTGGCTCCTCACTTCTTCCTGGATATACTGAAGCAGGAAAGGTGAGGCTCTAAGGTTGTCCACGGGAAAGCTGAAAAAGCCTTGTATTTCCTTTTGATGAAGATCCATAGTGATAATGTGAGTTAAACCTGAAATTTTAAAACAAAAAATTACAAAGTTCACCCCTACAAGTTAATGGCTACAGTGGACACAAATTAGACGCCCACTCCTGTTTCCTAACCGAAGATTGAGAGCAGGGAATATATTGTGAACAAGCACATTAGTTACAGACTTCATTGGTAACCTTAACAACACTCAGTGAACTAAAGAATGTTGTCAAGCCTCAGGTAAAAGAGCCTATAACCTTCCACATGGACAGAGAGCTAAAGCAGAGAAAAAAGTGCTCTCCCCTACTATCATAACTAGCTTAGTCCTGAAAATTAAGAAAAATCGGGCAGAAGCAAAAATATTAATATGGAATTAATAAACACTGAAGAAGTAATGGATGTAAAAATAGTAAGGCCTTGATTAAAGAATCTAGGAAGAAATGTTAAAGGCCTGTGGCTGGAGCGGAAGGAATAAGAACACAAAAGCAAAGTAATACACGTATTAGAAGAAAAATCCATATCGAAGAGTTTGGAACAATTTCTAAACGTCATAAAAGAATGAGTGAAGGAGTACTCTTATAGAACAACAATAAAGACATACTCTTATAATCAGTCGTGCTGAACAAATAAAAGGTACATATATAAAAACATTGCAAATGGACAAAGGTCACTGCAACCATTCTAGAACAAAGAACCAGTATTACCCATTCCTCCCCAAACACTATACATTTTTAGAGAAAATGGAATCCAAATGTTTCTCAGGACTTGAATGTATATTAGGGACGCCTGGGTGGCTCAGTTGGTTAAGCGACTGCCTTTGGCTCAGGTCATGATCCTGGAGTCCCGGGATCGAGTCCCGCATCGGGCTCCCTGCTCGGCAGGGAGCCTTCTTCTCCCTCTGACCCTCCCCCCTCTCATGCTCTATCTCATTCTCTCTCTCAAATAAAAAAAAAAAAAAAAGAAAGAAAGGACTTGAATGTATATTAGAGTTTTTAAGTAAACATGCCAGGCAAATAAAATCCCAACTGCTATCAAGTGTTATTACATTGGACTCATAGGCCAGAAAGTATGTTACCACTATAAAAACACAGAATAAAAGCAATGAGAATGGGCTGCTATACAGAAAGACGGTCAGAGAGGGAGGAAAAGGAGGATTATATAAACTGGAGAAGCAGTAAAAGAAAAACCCAGTTTTAATATTATGTACATAAATAGAATCTAGCTAATAACCAAGGCAAATAGGTAAATCTACACCTGCAGCTCAAAAGATCCCATACAGACGCCAGGATCGCAGCTAAAGTTTTCATGAGAAGAGATGGCACAGATGATGAAAAAGCCCAGGATTAGAGAAGAGACAACGTCACTGTCAAGTAAGACAAAGAGGAAAGGAAAACTAAGAGTTTATACCTTGGCTCACATATCCCTAACCAGAACTACCAAAAGTAAACAGGAAGAAAGGAATTAGTGAACAACACTTAAAGAAAACAGAGGTCCCACATTAGCTCTCTGAGGTAGGGCCTAATCTCGTGCACAAAGAGTCCTAAATGACAGGGCGGGAACCCCGGGGCCTGTGTCCACACTCACCTGCTTTCGCCAGCATGGATGCCAGGAGCTTGCACACAATGGAACCCCTCTTCCTCATCTTGCTTTGCTTGCTGTAGGGGAAGTAAGGGATGACTCCGATAATGTTCCTGGCACAGGCAGTCTTCAGTGCGTAGGCCATGATCAGCAGCTCCATCACAGCTGTATTCACATCTCTGAAACAGGAAAAATTTGTATTTTGGGGTCAGGTTCATTGAAACGGCAGCATTTCAACCTGGGCTGCCAAGATGGGCATCATGGACATTTTGTCATCACACTAGCTGATGACGGCACCTCACCAATCCAGGGGAAAACTTATTAGCTCTTCTTTTGAGCCGTGGTTTGCATCTGCAGTCACGTAAATCCAGTGCCCAGTTATCCACGCTCACCTTTGCCTGGATCTTCTGTCGGTGACATGGTCACTGGGGTGGCACATGAAGCAGATGTCAGCTGGCAGCCAGGGTGAGCCAACACCTTGGGCCTGTCCCAGGGACCGTAGGCTCAGGCCAGCACACCAGCCCCTCGCTTCCTATGGATGCCAAGGGAAACCCACTGCCCTGCTGTTGAGCTGCCAGGGCCAGAAAGGATTTGTTCTCTTTGTTCTTCACAGGGTAGAGGGTAGGCGGCAGGATGGGGAGGTCTTGGATCTAAGTTTTCAAAAATCTCCTCATTCCTTTTTTCTGAAGATACACAGATGCCCGACAAAGATTACCCAGAGAGACAAAGAAAGAAATATGAATCTGGAAGATATTCAAAGGAAAGGCTACTTCCGATTTTAAGGAATGTGGATTGCTACCCCTTGCCACGACTGATCGAGCCTAAGGTGGGCTCTGCCCTTAAAAAAGGCAAGAACCTTAGGGTGGAGGGAAGCTCATCAGTGGGGCCCTCAGGAGCTGAGTGCCTTGCGTCACTCTACCCCACGTTGCCTGGAAAGTGGCCCTAACAGGATCCTCCCTTAGTTTCAAAAGAGGTGAGTTTTCAGAGAATGCAGCTCGTTGCTCCTGAGGGCGGACTGGGTAGGAGATGCAGTGGACCGGCCCTTGGGGATGGGGCCTGGCAGATGCCTCAGCCTGAGCTTGGAACAGACTCTCACAGCCAGGGAAGTGAGCTCAATGGCTGTGGTGAGGTACCCTGCCCGGGGGCCTCGTAACCCAGTTCAGATCACTTTCCCCTATCCTCCAAAGACAGGAAAAAAAAAATTGGTGAGAGTCTTGAAGTCCTTCGGATACTCTTCCAATGCTCAACCTTCCCTCTCTAGCCTCTTCCCACTCCTCCTTGGATTATCCAAGAGTCCTCAAACACCCCCTCTTTTGGGTCAGGAGTGTATCTCCCTTGCCTTCCTGAGAAAGAGGATCATTTCCCATGTAGTTTCTATGTGAGGAGTAGACTCTGAGGTGTCAGTTCTTGAATTGTCCATATATAGCAGTGAGGCTGCCCTCATTTGGAGCAAAATGGAAAGCTTGCCATCAACATAGCAGAGACTTCATAATGCTTAAGTAGTTAAATGAAATATTCATCACGAGATTGCTTTTTAGCCTGAAGGACAGAGAGACCATATCCTCCCAGTCTCCCAGTTTGTTTGCCTCTCTCTCCAAGGGCGCCCATCCTTAGTACATCTGGGAGTGAGACACTGGAGACATCGTTGTCCTCTGACGGTGTTTTCCACATCCACATTCAACTTAGAGAACTCCCAACCTCACCTTTGTAATTTGGATTTTTTGTAAGTATTTCAGGGTTCTGTCATAAAAGCGTTTCTCCCAGAGGGTAGATATAATTGATTCAGGATTTGACTTCAAGACAACTACAACATTCCTTTTGGATTGCTGACAGGTTACACTATTTTCCAGTTGTTTCCTTCCTCTGAAATATATTGGAGCATTTTCCTCCTCATCCTCCCAAATTAATAATGTCCCAAGTCTGGCATCAAAAGGTTAGAGGACACACAATCGTTTGGTAAAATCAGGACAAAACACTTACCAAACACTTTCAAGGTATTTGGGAATTCATTATACTTGATCAATGTTAGTTCATTCATACATTCAACAAATATTTATTGAGCAACATGAATCAGGCACAGTGTTAGGTGGTGAAGATAAAATGGCAAACAAGGCTGATGACATCTCAAGAAAATGCCAGAGACCCACACTGGACCACCCTGTGGTAATCATCTGTCCCAAGAAGGAGCACATCTAACTCAATATTCTGCCTCCCAAAGGCTTTCATACTTGATTCCACAGAGGGGAGAGCGTCCCTTCCCCCATCCCTTCCCCCATCAAAACTGATGCCTGTGGGTTCTGAATGTTCAGCTGGAAGGCTACACAGTCCTTGAAGGATAGTGTGTAAATAACTCAGGAGTCCAAATCTAGACCGAACACCGGGCATCATATACACTATAGCCGAAATCCTCTTCTGCATACAGACTGTCGGTCAATGTTAGAAATACAATCAGAGCTTTCTTAACCTTCCACTGGTGTGATAGCGTGTGGCAGCATAAAAGCTCCACCGTCCGTGGCTTCCTTTTTTAAGATTTTATTTATTCATTTGACAGAGAGAGACAGTGTGAGAGGGAACACAAGCAGGGGGAGTGGAGAGGGAGAAGCAGGCTTCCCGCGGAGCAGGGAGCCCCATGTGGGGCTCGATCCCAGACCTGAGCCGAAGGCAGACGCTTAACGACTGAGCCACCCAGGCGCCCCCTGGCCGTGGTTTCTTACATCAGATGTCAATGCAACAATATACTCAGAGTTGAAGTTAATTTAATAGATTCTGGAAGAGTATCTGTCCAGGTGGTGGGCTTTTAGCTGGCCTTGTGACAGCATTTATAACACACAACCATGGGCTACAATGAGGTTTCGATAGCACACCACAAGGTGGGCCCAGATAGTAAGATGTTAACGTAACAAGATGAACAATTTCGGAAGGGCCTTGATTTCAGCGTAACTTTCCTTCCATTAATTACTAATTTCTGCCATGAGCTTTCATTTTCTACTTGTTCCTTTTCCTAATGACCTATGCCAAGGGATTCAACATCCTCCAGCCCAAGGCTAAGGAAAGCCTCCCATGCCCCACCCCTTTGGTCAGGAAGGCAACAAAAGAGCCTTTGTCACATTGGCTTTCCCCATTCACTGCCAGACACTAGACAAATTGGACACCAGGCAGTTAATCTGTGGGCTAGCAGGGTGAAGAAAAGTTGGCTGGCAGCCTCTACTTTGTTTATCTGTTCCCTAAGACTGTTCCAAGTACATCCTGGCTAGTTCTTGTGGCCTTTGTATCTAAGTAGGACAATCTTAATCGTTTACCAACTGACTGGTTTTTCTTTCCCCTAAGATAAGCACATCCTATATTAAATTCGACCCTTACTGCTCTGTCATTTTTGAGAGACAAAGACAAATGTAAGAAAACAGACACGGTCTATATACATCAACTGAACAGAGCGGGACTGCAAAGCGAGGCCAAGACCATAGATGGAAGTCACAACGATACGGTGATGGGGTAGGATTTCCCCCACCCCCGACCCCAAGAATTAACCATCTGCAACAAATAAGTTGTAAATGTGCTTTTAGTGACCCTTCTTACGTTACACCAACACACTGGAGCTTGTAACATAAACAGGGAAATTGTCCTTCAAGAAACACTTGGTAAGCTTCATATCCATTTTACTTTCCTTGCTCAGTATAACTGAAAGCTCCTCGAGTATCACACATTTCACTCATGCAACAAAATCACTTCCTTCTGAATGGCTTTTTGCCATTTCCAAATACTTCAATTCCACCCTCAGCAATCAAAGATGTACCTTCACTGGAGTGGTCACAAGAAATAGGCTGCAAGCTCTGAGTGGTTTCGGAAGGTGAGCCCCCGTATCAGAGCTATTGGGGAGGCGGCCGCAGCAGTGGCAATGAGGACAATGCAGCCTTACCCTTCTCCAAGGACAAAAGCCAGGGTGACAGGCACAACACCAGAGGGCAGCCTCGAGGGGTGTCCCAGGGCCCTCACTACGCAGCATTTTACTCCCGGGAAAGACCCACAGGTCTCCTCCTCCTTCCCAAGGTGCAGCATCGAGCAGAGCACTAGGCAAGAAGAATGCCATGACCAGGAGGCAACCAGCACAAAACCCAAATTGCTGGAGGACTAGCGGGCGACAGAGGAGTAGCCATCAACACTGCGCCCTATGTACCAATACTACAAAGGCAATTTCGTTTCCTGGAATCTTCCTGATCACCGCTAAGACAAATAGGACGCCTGCAGGTTTTTGCTGCAGGCACCTCCGTATAGGCTACTGATGACTGATTCACCCCACCCCCCAGGGGAAGGGAGGGGCTGAAAGTTCCAACTCTAACGGGCTGTTGGTTCCCCTGGCTGTTGGTTCCCCTGGCGAAAAGCCCCCATCTCAGCTTATCTAGGTGCTTTCCAAAAACCACCTCAGGTGTGGTTGAAAGGGGGCTTGTTAAATACAAAAGACACCTTTATTTCTCTTATCCCTTAGGAAATTCCAAGGGTTTTAGGAACTCAGCACCAGGAAAGGAAGACCAAATATATATTTCTTTCTCTCTTTTTTATTTATTTTTAATTAAAGATTTTTTTTTTAAGATTTTATTTATTTATTTGACAGAGAGAGACACAGCGAGAGAGGGAACACAAGCAGGGGGAGTGGGAGAGGGAGAAGCAGGCTCCCCGCCGAGCAGGGAGCCCGATGTGGGGCTCGATCCCAGGACTCTGGGACCATGACCTGAGCCGAAGGCAGTTGCTCAACAACTGAGCCACCCAGGAGCCCTTTAATTAAAGATTTTATTTACTTATTTGACAGAGACACAGCGAGAGAGGGAACACAAGCAGGGGGAGCGGGAGAGGGAGAAGCAGGCCTCCCACTGAGCAGGGAGCCCGATTCGGGGCTTGATCCCAGGACCCTGGGACCATGAACCGAGCAAAAGGCAGACGCCTAACAACTGAGCCACCCAGGCGTCTCTTTAAATTAATTAATTAAATGGGCACCTGGGTGGCTCAGTTGGTTAAGCGACTGCCTTCGGCTCAGGTCATGATCCTGGAGTCCCAGGATCGAGTCCCACATCGGGCTCCTTGCTCAGCGGGGGGTCTGCTTCTCCCTCTGACCTTCTTCCCGCTCGTGCTCTCTGTCTCTCATTCTCTCTCTCAAATAAATAAATAAAATCTTTTTTAAAAATAATTAATTATTTACATTTTAAGTAGGCTCCACACCCAAAGTGGGGATCAAACTCACAACCTTGCGATCAAGAGCTGCATGCTCTACCGACTGAGCCAGCCAGGTTCCCCCAAATATGTTCTTATTACAAGTCACATTGTCACTGAGGCTCAGAATAGCTTCCAAACCCGATGTGGTTTAAGGATGAAAGATGATACATGTAAGTGGGTGCACACTGCTGGTGTTCGGCGCCATTCTTATTACTGACAGTCTCAGGAATCTAAATTAACCAAGACATGAAGGTCTGCATTTTTCAAAGACACACATAGCCTAACTACCCCATTCCCTGGGAGGGGATGAGAGGAGATAATCCCACAGGGAAGGTCACCCTCAGGTAGGCTAGGATTTCCCCTAAGGGAAGGGGTGGCAGATGCTATCTACAATAGACAGCTAGAAACGGGCCACTGTGCAAAAAAAAATACAGTGCAATCAAAAGCTAATAATGTAGGGGCGCCTGGGTGGCTCAGTTGGTTAAGCGACTGCCTTCGGCTCAGGTCATGATCCTGGAGTCCCGGGATCGAGTCCCGCATCCCGCCGAGCAGGGAGCCCGCTTCTCCCTCTGACCCTCCTCCCTCTCATTCTCTCTCTCTCAAATAAATAAATGGAATCTTTAAAAAAAAAAAAAAAAGCTAATAATGTACTATATGCTGACTAACTGAACATAATAAAGTGAAAAACTGTCTTGATGGGTACAAATCGGCAGCAGCTATGCATTGTATTTAACAACAAAAAGCTTTTTAGCAGAGAGGAGCAGACATGGACTAGGTTCAGTGCATATGGAGGTAAGGAAGGTATTTTTCCCCTTGAGTGGTTTAAGCTTGGAGAGGAAGATCAATAGTACAATGTGACAAACAGGGTAGGAATGTTAAAAGCCTACAACTGGATTTTGGTAAGCATTCAGTTGAACATGCAAACACATTTATAGTGAAAGAAACTCAATTGTTGTTTATATGATAACATAGTGACTTGCATCACTAAGGTTTTTAGAGGAAAAGGGATACATAAAGTAGTGCTCTTACCTGGGTATTGTCTGTATAATGAAAATATCTTGGCCACGAACAGACTCTTTTATTTCAACTCTTGTTTCTGAAAAATAAAAAAGTTCTATTGCTTAAGAAAAGCACTTCATGATACAACAATTAGGCAGCAGCTGGAGGGAGTAGAGATGAATCTAAACCAACACTTCATCTAGTGTACCAAAATAAATTCTCAATAGATCTCAGAATGACACGTATTCAAAAAATGTGAAGCTAAAGGGAAAATAAGCCAAAAATATGCCAAAAGGCAAAAGTAACACCAACAGGTCCACAGAAAATCTCAAGGTTCAAAAAAGAAAATCCAACACCAAAATAAAGACGAGAGGCTTGGGGAAAAGTCTACAGCAAATAAGGAGGTCAAAGGTTAACATCCTTCTTTCAACAAATGCCAAGGCCTCCTCTGGGTCAGGCCCTGTCCTTGGGGTCCCAAAGTGGAGGACCTGGACCAAGTGGATGAAGACCGATCTAGGAGAGACAACACAATGCCAAAGGCTGGCAGACTCTTCAGGCCAATGTGCCAGAAAAAGACCAAGAGATGGGGTACCAACTGGCTCAGTTGGGAGAGTAGGCAACTCTTGATTTCAGGATTAAGAGTTCAAGCCCAATATTGGGCGTGGAGCCTACTTAAAAAAAACAAAAACAAAAAGAGGGGCGCCTGGGTGGCTCAGTTGGTTGAACGTCTGACTCTTGGTGTCAGCTCAGGTGGTGATCTCATGGGTCGTGGGATCGAGCCCTGCATCAGGGTTCCTGCTCGGTGGGGAGTCTGCTTGAGGATTCTCTCCTTCTGCCCCTCACTCCATTCGTGCACACTCTCTCTAATAAATAAATCTTTTTTTTTTTTTAAGATTTTATTTATTTATTTGAGAGAGAGAATGAGATAGAGAGCATGAGAGGGGGGAGGGTCAGAGAGAGAGGCAGACTCCCTGCTGAGCAGGGAGCCCGACGTGGGACTCGATCCCGGGACTCCAGGATCATGACCTGAGCCGAAGGCAGTCGCTTAACCAACTGAGCCACCCAGGCACCCCAAATCTTATTTTTTTTTTTAAAGATTTTATTTATTTATTTGACAGAGAGAGACACAGCGAGAGAGGGAACACAAGCAGGGGGAGTGGGAGAGGGAGAAGCAGGCTTCCCGCGGAGCAGGGAGCCCGATGCGGGGCTCGATCCCAGGACCCTGGGATCATGACCTGAGCCGAAGGCAGACGCTTAACGACTGAGCCACCCAGGCGCCCCTAATAAATAAATCTTAAAAAAAAGAAAAAGACCAGGAGAGAGAATAATAGGGCTGGGAACGATGGCTTCACCACAAGCTGGAACGTGTACCGAGGAAGGGAGCATGGAACATGCAGAGATATGGGGGCAGAGTGTGCCACGCAGAGGGCTAGCCAGTTACCCGCTTGGAAAACGCAGTGAATGAGGAGGAGAGCGAGGGGTCAGGTAGCCAGCGGGGGCCAGACCATGCAGGAGTCTGGACTTCATTCTAAGGGTGACAGGAGAGCCACTGGGGGAGGAGTTGAGGATGGGAGGGGGTGTGATCTCTGACTGCTGTGTGAAGAAAGCTGGACGGCGACAGTGGCACAGGAAGGCTACCCTAGTTGGTTCTGCAGGAGTCCCGGCAAGCAAGGACAGTGGTCCAGACCGGAGGGCGGCAGCGGAGGTGTGAGAAGCCGACAGACTGAAGGTGTATTCGTGAGTCACAGCGCACATGTCAGACAGGATGGATGATAAGCAGTGAGGGCAGAGCTCAGATCCCAAAGGGCCCTGTGTGGATGCTAAGGAGACCGGACTCTAGCCCGCAGGATTTCAGCAGGGATAAGTCAAAAACATTTGCATTTTGGAAACACCTTGGTGGAGGTGAGTAGAATGGCCTAGGGAGACTGAAAATGGAGGCAGGAAAGCCTGTTAACAAGCTACTGTAACAGCCAGAGAGAGGGAGAGAAGGAGAGGGGAGGAGAGGGAAGGAGAGGGAGGAAGGGAGAAGAGGCCTAGAACAGTGATGGAAGGATGGAGAAAAAGGTCTTCATTTTTTTTAAAGATGTTTTAAAGATTTATTTATTTATTTGAGAGAGAGAGTGTGTGCAAGCAGGGAGAGAAGAGAAAGAATCTCAAGCAGGCCCCTAGCTGAGCACAAAGCCTGAGGCAGGTTCAATCCCAGGACCCCAAGATCATAACCTGAGCCAAAACCAAAAGTCAGAGGCTTAACTGACTGAGCCACCCAGGCATCCTGATAAAGGTCTTCATTAAACCATCTTCTCCTCCTCTGGTGCTTATTTTCAGGAGATTCCCAAATGCCATCACCATAAATTAAGATCGTTATTGATAAATAGACTAGCTCACCTATCTGCATTCACCATTAGGGGTTTTTTGTTTTTAAAGATTTATTTGAGAGAGAGGGCAGGAGGAGGGGCAGAGGGAGAGGAAGAGAGAATCTCAAGCAGATCCCACCCACTGAGCACGACTCGGGGCTGAATCTCACCACCCTGAGATCATGATCTAAGCAGAAATCGAGTCGGACACTTGATGGACTGAGCCACCCAGGTGCCCCCACCTTTAGGTTTTTAAATACCAACATCTCCTGTCTTGGCAGTAGATAAAGTTTCTAGTCACCAAGTAGAAAGTTACTAAGTATGGGGACGCCTGGCTGGCTCTGTCAGAGGAGCATGGGACTCTTGATCTTGGGGTCCTGAGCTCAAACCCCACATGGGTTGTAGAGATTACTTAAATAAAACTTAAAAAAAAAGTTACTAAGTGTGGAAGCTGGCTGAAGGATATCTATGGGCTAATTATAACACACATGGAACTTATAACATCCTGGGTGTTAAGTGCTTTCCACTAAACTATCCATTAAGTTACCTTTCCCTTTTCAAATACCTTGTTTTTTTAGATCCCTGAACATCATTATGTCTTAGTAATTTATCATAGATAGTTAATACCTTAGAAAGAAAAAAGGAAGCACAGGGTCATAAACCTAGGTTTCAGCTTCGCAAAAATAGCTCCAAATTATTTTATATTAACTGGTCTCCGCAGGGCATTATAGTCTGAAGTATGTGGCCACACTAGGGAGACTGATGATGCAGCATTTGCTAGGACACTGGCCATCAACAAAGGGCTTTCAAGCATTATCATTTAATGTTACAATTTTCCACAGAAATGCAAACGGAAGCAAAAATGGGTTATTAACCCAGGATGAGAGTCTACAAGAGACCTGAGAGCAAAATTTGCGGATGAAAGAACTCAAAGATGGTTTTTCAATAAGTCATTACTACCTGGTAACAGACTGCTCTTGATACCAGTTGATGACCTAATGAGACAGATAAATGTAAAAGGTATTTATCAAATGTAGCCCAATATAGAAGAAAAAAACATATTCTCTACATCTCTCCTTTTTTCATTGTAAAATGACAGGACACTTGCACTATCTTGGGAAGAGGGGAAGGAAACTAAGAAAGAGAACAAAGAAAGAAATCAAGACTTGGAGGGAAGTAGAGCGTAATGGCTTAGACCTGATGTTAAAGAGAAAAATGTTTTTGTGTTGCACGTAATATCTGCCTTTTAAAAACATACCTGTTGGTGGGGCGCCTGGGTGGCTCAGTTGGTTAGGCGACTACCTTCAGCTCGGGTCATGATCCTGGAGTCCTGGGATCGAGTCCCGCGTCGGGCTCCCTGCTCAGCGGGGAGCCTGCTTCTCCCTCTGACCCTCCCCCCTCTCATGTGCTCTCTCATTCTCTCTCTCTCAAATAAATAAATAAAATCTTTAATAAATAAATAAATTAATTAATTAAATTAAAACATATCTGTTGACTAAACAGAGAACAAAGGATGTTTAAGCGGGACACCTGGGTGGCTCAGTCGGTTAAGCGTCTGCCTTCAGCTCAGGTCATGATCCCAGGGTCCTGGGATCGAGTCCCGCATCAGGCTCCCTGCTCCGCGGGGAGCCTGCTTCTCCCTCTGCCTCTGCCTCTCTCTCTCTATCTCTCATGAATAAATAAAAAAAACTTAAAAAAAAAAAAAAGGATGTTTAAGAAATCATTTTAACTCACCTCCATTGGTCTCTTGATAGACCACAGATTTCCCCAATTCAGCACCAAGACGCCTATGTGGGGGGGAAAGGCAATTAAAGAATGCTCTTTAAAAAAAGCCCTCCAGTTCATATGCGTAGTTCAACAAAAAGGCTAAAATAACTAGACCAGCATTCTTTCCCAAAAAAACAGAAAGTTCAGAAAGTTTAACGCATTAAGAACTACACATCTGCTACCCCTCCACAAGCAGCTTCAAGCGCCCACCACTTTGTGACACCCTCCTCTACTGGGGTCTGCGGCCAAAGTTTCATGTCCAGTTCATTGTTTTCTGAATCATAACGGTCTTGCAAAATCATTTCCACACAAACGCCTGGTTATTAGCGCTAGTTGCAAAACCACAAGCCAGAGGTAAAGGCCTCAACTGTCAAAAGCATATAGACTTTATAGAGTAAATATATACTTTATATATATATACTTTATAGAGTATATACAGAAGTATATAGACATTAACCAAATGCGGTGTGAATCTTGTTTGGATCCTGATTAGAACAAACCAATTATAAAAAGCCTTTTTTGAGAGAGTGAGGGAAATATGAACAAGGATCAGTATTAAATGATATTAAGGAATTAATGGCATCAGGGCGCCTGGGTGGCTCAGTTGGTTAAGCGACTGCCTTCGGCTCAGGTCATGATCCTGGAGTCCCAGGATCGAGTCCCGCATCGGGCTCCCTGCTCGGCGGGGAGTCTGCTTCTCCCTCTCCCACTCCCCGTTTGTGTTCCCTCTCTCGCTGTGTCTTTCTCTGTCAAATAAATAAATAAAATCTTTAAAAAAAAAAAAAGGAATTAACGGCATCAAAGATTTTATTTTTAAGTGAGCTCTACACCCAACGTGGGGCTTAAACTCACGACCTGGAGATCAAGAGCTGCATGATCTACCAACTAAGCCAGCCAGGCACCCCTGTGGTCGTTTTTTTTAATTATCAGCTAGCATTACCACTTTGACGAGTGAAATATTATGACACGGGGATGGAACCTGTTTAGAAATACTCCAGCCAGGTATGCCGTGGAGCAGTGAGCAAGGACATGGGGTTTGAGGTTTGTATTGAGAGGGACTACCGCGGCTTTCAGGGCTTGGATGACACCTCAGATGCAAGGCCTTCTGGCCAAGCGCCCGCCATTTCAGACCGTGGAGCATTCTTGTAACCCGGCGGGGAGCAGCTTTCTCTCAAGTTTGCTGTGGCTGAACCAAGAAAGGAGACATACATAGATTTCTACAGAAATTACGATTCCATGATCGATTTTGAGATGAAGAAGGCTGGTATCTTTCAGAGTGCAAAGTGATGTTGGAACATAAAGAATTTCTTTGGGTTGCGTTCCATGAAGTCTGTCACTGACCTGTGTTCCCCAACTATGAAACATGAATCCTGGGGTATGAAATAGTTTCTCTTGATAAATAAACAATTAACAAGCAGTGTGCACAGTATAAATAAAAAAATAAACTTATTCCAGTCAGGTCTACAATGGAATACTATTCAGCCTTAAAAAGGAATGAAATTCTGATATATGCTATATGAACCCTGAAAAAATTATTATTCTAAGTCAGACACAAAAGACAAATATTGCATGATTCCATTTAAAATAGGTACTCAGAAATAGGCAAATTCAGACACAGAAAGTAGAACAGAAATTACCAGGGACTGGGAGGGAAGGGATTGGGGAGTTAGTTAGATATGGAGGTTCTGTTTGGCATAATGAAAAAGTTCTGGAAATGGATCTTGGTGACAGTTATACAACACTGTAGATGTACTTAATGCCACTGAATTATACACTTAAAAATGGTTAAATGGTACATTTTATGTTACGTATATTTTACCATAATTTAAAAAAATACTCCTTAGGGTGCCTGGATGGCTCAGTCAGTAAGCATGTAACTCTTTTTTTTTTAAAGATTTTATTTATTTATTTGAGAGAGAGAGAATGAGAGAGAGAGAACACATGAGAGGGGATAGGGTCAGAGGACGAAGCAGACTCCCTGCCGAGCAGGGAGCCCGACGCGGGACTTGATCCAGGGACTCCAGGATCATGACCTGAGCCGAAGGCAGTCGCTTAACCAACTGAGCCACCCAGGCTCCCCAATAAGCATGTAACTCTTGATCTCCTGGTCATGAGTTCAAGCCCCATGTTGGGTATAGAGCTTACTTAACAAAATAAAACAAAACTCCAGCCAAAAAAAGGTGAGAGATGGGGAAAGTAAATGAAATAAGATTAACAAAAAGTTGCTAAATTGAAACTGGATGAAGGATACTGGGGGTTCTTTTTTTTTTTTTAAAGACTTCATTTATTTGACAGAGAGAGACACAGCTAGAGAGAGAATACAAGTAGGGGGAGCGGGAGAGGGAGAAGCCGGCCTCCCGCTGAGCAGGGAGCTGGATGCAGGGCTCGACCCCAGAACCCCAGGACCACAACCTGAGCCAAAGGCAGACGCCCAACAACTGAGCCACCCAGGCGCCCCACTGGGGGTTAATTCTAACATACGTGTAACTTATACACATCCTGGGAATGTAACCCACCTAACTTTTTTATTGATTAAAGTGCATAACCAAAATGTTTGTGAAAATTCCTGCTTGGAAGTTCAGATCCAAAAGCAATCAGGAAATAAAATATCATAACCTCAGGGACCTTCAAACTTTGCCTAGTGGTAAAGGCCTTTTTTCAAATAAAATCTTACTCAGAAACTCCATATATGAAACAGATAAAGGAAGTATTTACAAATATTATTTACAGTAATTTAACACATTTCTGGAACAAGGTAGGGAAGAACCTAATATTTAAAAAGCAAAACAATTGACCTTTTAAATGTGCCCTCCTCTCTCAGCAAGGTCACTGTCGTAAATCTGACCCAAAATAAACAAATATGAGCTTTACATTTAAAGTTAGCATTTTAGTTGGCCTCAAAAAGCCAGACATTTATCAGGGGTTAGAAACAGAAACTAGGTAGTAGGTTGCAAAAGGATTTACTCTTCTGAACTCACTTAAAACTCCAACTGAAAAGAACATGGGTATTACTGAGAAAATATGACTAAAGTTTCCCTTCTACATTTCCATCTAGAATCTAAAAACCGATTCTTGCAATTATTTATCAACTCCAAAAAACCCAGAGGAACTCTGATGTAAATCGCTTAAGATACAAAAATGACTTTGAATGTTAAAAAACAAGCTATTCATTTTATATCTTGCGTTTGTCACAAGTTTATCTGGAAAGGGCTCCTAAGGCCCTTCCTTTACATTAGAGCTCTGGGACTCTCCAACAGAGCCAACTAGAAAAGAGGTATTATTCAGAGGGCCACTGTGAGCCTCTGCTCTGTTTCATGCTTTATCGTCATTATTTTGTTCATGCTCACGATGTTCCTGCCCAGTTAGAGAGCACCGTCCTTATCTTACCAGTGAAATTCGGGAAAATCAAGTCTCTTGCCCAGTGCCACACAGGGCTAGTAAGAGGCAAGACTGAAAAGGCATCTCAGAGCTGTCGGACCCCAGAAGCCACTTGAGATCACTGGCTTCCTTGGGTTAAAAACATACGGAGAGGCAAAGACTTTGATCGAGTCTAAAGTCGACTTAGGAAAGACGATCAGACTTATCATTTCTACCACTAACTCCGACAAATCTGTTCCCCTGGGGTCGCCTTGCTCTCCCTGCCCTCCGCTCCACCTCTGCTTCACTGGGGCATCCCGCGCCTTCCACCCGCAAGGCCCCGCAGCCGCCCCCCTAGTGCCGCCGTCCCCCAAGTGTGGCAGGTCCCCGGCGCCGCCAGGCCCGGTCGTGCGTGTCCCAGCTCCGGGACCTGCGGGCCTCGGGCCCACCGAGGAGACCTGGGGGTGGGGGCGACCTGTCTCCGAGGTCAACTCCCGCCGTGGGACAGGGAGCCGCGCCCAGAGCCCCCCGGTCCAGGCGCTTCCTCCGGGGTGACGACAGCCTCCCCCCACCCCGGCCCGGGAAGTGGGAGTGGGGCGAGGGCGAGAGGGCGAGAGGGCGAGCGGTGCAAGGAACCCCGCGCGGGGAGAAGTCAGAGAGTCGGCCGGCCGCGTCCCCGCCGCAGAAGGGCCACCCGCGAGAGTCGGCCCGGTCCAGAGCCCGCAGGACCGTGACTCCGCGGGCCGGGTGCAGGGCGACGCGGAGGGAAGGGGCGCCGGGACGCCCCCCGGTCAGGGCCCCGCCCCGCCCCCTTACTCGGTGATGCGCTTGGCCAGCTCGGTGCAGGCGGCCGTGGAGTTGGCCGAGAAGACTCGGTAGCCGGTGCGGGCGGCGTTCATGGCCGGGCGGGCGGCGGGGCGGGCTCGCGGGGCGCGGAGGGTCGAGGACGCGGAGAGCGGGGGCAGCAGCAGCAGCTTCTTGGGCATCGTCCGGCCCGCGCCCGGAGCGGCTCTGACCCGGGCGGTCGCGAGGCGCGGGGTCCGGCGGGGGAAGGCGCCGAGACCCCAGGCACGGGAGGGGAGAGGCCCGAGACCCTCACGGTCCTCGCACCCGAGGCCGCCGAGGGCTGGGGCGGAACCCACGCTCGCCGCGACCGGCGTATCGGCCACCTCAGAGCCGGCGGCCAGGACACCGCCCCTCTGGGCCGCGGAGAGGCACCGGCTAGAGCGTCCCCGGGGCCGCCATCTCAGATGAGGGCAGGGCGGTGGACAACTCTTCCAAAGCTTGTTGTGCCCAGGGGAGCCTCACGAATCGCCCCGCTGCTTGCTTTTGTCGCTCCCACGGGAGCTCTTTTGCCCTCTCGTTCTTGGGCCGTGCGACCTCACTTGAGAGTGGTCCCAGCCTTTGCCAGCTTTTCTGCCAGCATCCAAAATGTCTGCGGCCGTGGAGGTTGACGATCTAGCTCTGCGCCTCTATGCTAACCCAGCCGGAGCGCGGGGCGAGGCTCGAGCGCCCAGCTGGGATTGGTTTGAAAAGTGGAGGCGGCGTTGTTTTCCGCGGGCTGCTGCGGTGCCCCAGAGGTGGTGTGCGTGGACCCGAGCCTGCTCTGTGTTCCCCAAACAGGCTCTAACCTCGTATCTGCACCTAAGGCAGAGTTCCTTGAACGGGTCAAAGGACTCCTGCCAGTTACCGCTTTGCTCTCAATCGTGGAAGCCCTTCTTCCTCCTCTTGCACAAGCCCCCGTCCCTCAGAGACCTATGGGGAGTAGCGTCTGCGTGCTAGATCACCTCAATCCCAGTAAGCCACCCTCCGCCCCCGGACTGTACCGTATCATACTGTATGTATGATACCACGCATAGATGCTTGTGTTTCATTTTACCGTTGTGGACCATCTGTCTTCCCAACTAGGATGTAAACCCTCTTGGGGCAAGATTGTGTACAGCTGGGGCGCCTGGGCGGCTCCGTCGTTAAGCGTCTGCCTTCGGCCCAGGTCATGGTCCCGGGGTCCTGGGATCGAGCCCCGCGTCGGGCTCCCTGCTCAGCGGGAAGCCTGCTTCTCCCTTTCCCTCTCCCACTCCCCCTGCTTGTGTTCCCTCTCTCGCTGTGTCTATCCCTGTCAAATAAATAAATAAAATCTTAAAAAAAAAAAAGATTGTGTATAGTTTGGGGTTCAGATTTCCCAGTGTCTAGTGCAGTGTTATGGGTTCCAGAGGCACGCAATCAATACATGTTGAATGAGACCCAAGAAGTGAAAGGAGGGGAAGCCTTTGGATCACTAGTTATCAGCTGCCCCAGGATTGGGGAGGGAGGCCGGTGTTGTGCTTCTCAACACACACAGTACCGTCTTCTGAAAATATCTTTTAGGGACTCTGCCTGCTGTGACATTGGGCCTGAGGCAACAATAGATTGTGACTCATCACCTCAGGAAGGCTCACAATCCTAAAGCTTTAGGATTCGGAAACTGAACTATTCTGGGGCCTGCAGCAGCCTGGTCTACATTCTGCTGGCTTTCCAGAATTACTGCCCCACCCACCCTCTCCCTCCCCTTGGGACAGGTTAAATTAAAAAATAATAATAATAGGGGCGCCTGGGTGGCTCAGTTGGTTAAGCGACTGCCTTCGGCTCAGGTCATGATCCTGGAGTTCCTGGATCGAGTCCCGCATCGGGCTCCCTGCTCAGCGGGGGTCTGCTGCTCCCTCTGACCTCCCCCCTCTCATGCTCTCTGTCTCTCATTCTCTCTCTCGCAAATAAATAAATAAAATCTTTAAAAAAAAATAAATAATAATAATAATAATAAAATAAAATAAATGTTTTTAAAGCACGTGAGCTAAATAGCCTAAGCCAAATTATTTTTTATTTTTATTATTTTTTGAAGATTTTATTTATTTATTTTTGAGAGAGAGTGCTCTAGTGGGGAGGGCGAGGGGCAGAGGGAGAGAGAAAGATCTCAAGCAGATTCCAAGCTGAGCAGGAGCCTGTGGCCGGGCTCCATCCCACCACCCTGAGATCATGACCTGAAGTCAAAACCAAAAGTCAGCGGCTTAACCGACTGAGCCACCCAGGTGCCCCCCAAATTATTTAACCATAAGCCTTGTCACCTTTTTTTTTTTAAAGCTTTTATTTTTAAGTAATCTCTACACCAAACGTGGGGCTCAAACTCACAACCCTGAGATCAAGAGTCACATGCTCTACTGACTGAGCCGGCCAGGCGCCCCACACCTTATATTCCCTTCTAAAACAAAAGGAAAGCACTTCCCTTCACATTTTCCTATCTGTATCCCCCAGAACCCCTGTACCATGTTCATTTGCTCAGGTCTCCTTGAATTGTACCTCCTCCTCTTTTCCCCCTGTGAGTGAACATGACCATGAGGTTCCCAGCCAATAAATCCCACGATTTATCATCTTTTACTCTTTTCTTCCCCTTGCTTTCTACATCTATCCGCTTATCCATGTGTTAACATTTACTCAGCACCTGCTATTTGCCAGGCCTGTTTTAGGTGTTTGGGATACTTTAGTAAAGGAAAAAAAGACAGAAATTCATTTTTTTTTTTTTAAGATTTTATTTATTTATTTGACAGAGAGAGAGAGAGACACAGCGAGACAGGGAACACAAGCAGGGGGAGTGGGAGAGGGAGAATCAGGCTTCCCGCCAAGCAGGAAGCCCGATGCAGGGTTCAATTCCAGGACCCTGGGATCATGACCTGAGCCGAAGGCAGACACTTAACGACTGAGACACCCAGGCGCCCCAAGACAGAAATTCCTACCCTGGAGGGGTACAATCTAGCAGGGGAAGAGAGATTTAAAAGAACAAAAAATGAACAAACATCATAAATGAGTAATTTATGTAATATGTTAGCAGGTTTTTCCTCTTGCAGCAGTAACAAAGTACCACAAACATAGTGGCCTAAAACAACACAAATTTATGACCTTATAGTCGTCGAGGTCATAAGCCCTAAAATCACGGTGTTGGCAGGGCTGCATTCCTTCTGGAGGTTCCGGAGGAGAATCTGTTTCCTTGCCTTTTCCACTCTCTAGAGGCTACGTGCATTCGTTGCTCGTGGCCCCCCTCTTGAACACCAGCATCTTCAAATCTCTCTCTCTCTGATCTGCGCTTCCATCGTCATGTCCTTTCCCACTCTGACACTCCTACCTCCCTCTGATAAGGACCCTTGTAATTTCATTGGACTCAACGGGATATGCGGTATAATCTCCCATCTCGAGGACCTTCACTTCACATCTGTGAAGTCCCTATCACCATATAAAGTAACCTATTCACAGGTTCTGAGGATAGGATGTCAGCATCTTTGGGGAGCTATTATTCTGCCTACTGCAGAAGGCCAAAAGCAAACAAACTAACCACACACACACACACACACACACACACACACACAAGAGAGCAGAGGAAGGGGGTTCCGGAGAGGGGTAACAAGGTTTGTCTTTCTACCTTCTGAATTACCTCTGGCATCCCTCCCAGCCCCTTGCCCCCCCGCTCACAGGCCTGTCACTAGGGTCAGCGGGGGGGCCCCCCCCCCAGTGGGTTCCTTCATAGTGATCTCTTTCTCATCCTTCTCATCTGGGACCTCCTCCACTTAATCTGTCCTAAGAATCACCTGATGGATCGGAGTCTATGCTTCTTTCTAATGCTTCTGATTCAACAAGTTTGGGAAATACTTAGTAATGCATTCTCCACACAAGCTGGAGCGAACTTTACATATACGGATGTGATAGTAACTCCCCTCAAAACCTATCTGTGGCGGGCGCCTGGGTAGCTCAGTTGGTTAAGCGACTGCCTTCGGCTCAGGTCATGATCCCGGAATCCTGGGATTGAGTCCCACATCGAGCTCCCGGCTCAGCGGGGAGCCTGCTTCTCCCTCTGATCCTCTTCCCTCTCATGCTGTTTCTCTCTCTCTCTCAAATAAATAAATAAATAAAATCTTAAAAAAAAAAAAAAAAAAACCTATCTGTGGCTGCCTGTCACTTTTAGAATAAAGACAACCTCCTTGTGATCTCGCCCATTCCTGGGTCTTCAGTTTTATCCTCTTATTCTTCCAGTCGGCATCACCCTGACTGGCCTCGTCTCCGGTTGCCACAGGGCTTTTGCATGTGCTGTTCTCGCTCCTCCTTACCACCCACTCCATTCTTATTCATCCTCAGCCCTAGAGAGCCTTCTCAGACCTCTCTGACTAGATCAAAGTCCCCTGGTATTGGCTCTCCCAGCAATACATTCTTAGACACTGGTCACACTTGCAAATTTATATTTTGTAAAGACCGCCAGTCATGACCCTATATCATTTATCCTTTCTTCCTTTTAATGTTAGAACCAGCCCAGCTGGGGTCCTGGCCCAACCTTCCTTGCAGCTAATACAGCCACGTGCCCACATTTGGCCAGTCGAGGGAGAACGGAAGTGATGCGTGCAGTGCCCAGGCCTCTCCTCCCCCCTGGTCTTCCACTGTCAGGAATGGACACCCCTGGCACATCCACTGTTGGTCCAGATATGGAGGCCACATGTTGAGGATGGAAGAGCCAGCTCACCACCTGGGCCGCTGGCTGACCTGGCCAGCCTTAGACCACCCACCTCTGCTCTGTTACACATGCAGATAAGGTCGGATCGGCTCGGAGAGCAGCTTAGCCTGTCCCCAGCTGGTCCTCACTGGCTGGGTGATTGTTTATCTCCCACCAGACTTAACTCCAAAAGGCAGGGATGGACTCTGTTCATCCTTGCATCCCTATCTCTGGACGGGATCTATATCTGGATCCATCGGGTGCAGCCAGCCCATCTCAACTGTAGGAGTCTCGATAAGAAATCACAAAATGTAAGATTGGGAAGTACTCACTCTCACAAAGCCCCAGTGCCAAAGTTCCTACAAACATCCCTTATCACTCCACTGATGAGATGGGGAGGAAGGGCCACGAAAGATGAATTTGGGATAACCATTTGGGAGCCATCTCATGGTCCCCGGAAGACAGCCAGGCTCCTAGACTGTCTCAGGATGAAGCTGGGATTTGGGCACCTACTGTCACCAGAAGCACCCTTAGGGGAGGTGGGTCATCTCAGCTTGGGATCAAGAACAGCAGAGCCATGTTCTGTTTTAATGTGATGCTTCATTAAAAATGACCATTTGGGGGTGCCTGGGTGGCTCGGTTGAGCGTCTGGCTCTTGATTTTGGCTTGGGTGGTGATCTCAGGGTCATGAGAACAAGCCCTGCACTGGGCTCCGTGCTCAGCGGGAAGTCCGCTGGAGATTCTCTCTTCTTCCTCTACCCCTCCCCTTCGTGCACTCTCTTTCTCTCTCAATAAATAAATAAATAAATAAATAAATACAATCTTTAAAAAAATAAAAATGAACATTTGGATTATACTGTTGAAAGTTTTCCCCAGATTATTTTCTTTTTCTTTTTTTTAAAGTTTTTTTTTTTTTAAGATTTTATTTATTTATTTGACAGAAAGAGCAAGAGAGGGAACACAAGCAGGGAGAGTGGGAGAGGGAGAAGCAGGCTTCCTGCGGAGCAGGGAGCCTGATGCGGGGCTCGATCCCAGGACCCTGGGATCATGACCTGAGCCGAAGGCAGACGCTCAACGAACGAGTGAGCCACCCAGACGCCCCTAAAGATTTTTTTTTGTTTTAAGTAATCTCGGGGCCTGGGTGGCTCAGTCGGTTAAACATCTGACACTTGATTTCAGCTCAGGTCCATGATCTCAGGGTCATGAGATTGAGCCCTGTGTCAGGCTCCATGCTGAGCATGCAGCCTGGTTAAGATTCTCTCTCCCTCTCCCTCTGCTCCTCCCCCCCACCGTGGGCATTCTCTCTCTCTCTTAAAAAAAAATTAAAATTAAATTAAATTAAAAAATAGATAATCTCTATGCCCAACATGGGGCTTGAACTCACAACCCCGAGATCAAGAGTCGCATGCTCCACCAACTGAGGCAGCCAGGTGCCCCACCCCACCCCACCCTTTTTTTTCTTTCAGTTTTATACCTTTATTTGACAATCAGCGATTAGTTCTCATCCACATTAACTATCTGTAGATTTTTGAAAGTGGTGACAGGTACATAGGTAACCAGTGTGTAGAGCTTGTTTGGTGAATCTTCATCCTCGTTATGTTTTCTGGACAACCACACACGGATACGGTATGGAACATTCCTTATTCCTTTGGCCCAGACAGCTTTGTTGAGCCTGGTGTCAATGCGCACATCTGGAGTTCCCATCTCCTTTGTGGCAAACTTCCGGATCTCTTTGAGTGCCCGAGGGGCACGCTTCTGGAAACCCACTCCGTGGATGCGCTTGTGAATGTTGATGGTGTATTCTCTGATCACTACCTCGTGGATGGCAGAACGGCCCTTCTTCTTCTCGCCACCCTTCTTTGCGGGAGCCACTCTGCCGGGCCCTGGTTGGAAAGCCACACTTTATAAACAATTAATGTGGCATCCTGATGGCTCCTAAAATATTCCAGGTCCTGGCACATAGTAGGTGCTCAACATGTATTTGTGGACTCAGTCCTGGGGTGAGCCTGCAGACGAGGCCGGAGACGGTCATTATTTCTAGCAGGGCAGCCATGTGCTCAGCAAGAGGGGAGAGCAGGTCTTGGGTATAACCAGTTAGTCGCTCCATAGTGCCCCCTACTGGTCCTTGAGTTCCTTGAGCGGTCGCTGCCACGTGGTCCCATTATTGGGTCCTGACTCTTGATCTTGGCTCAGGTCTTGATCTTGGGTTGTGAGTTCCAGCCCCCCGCTGGGCTCCACACTGGGCACGGAGCCTACTTTAAAAAAAGAAAAGAAAAAAGAAATGATCTGTGCGTATTTTTGTGGAGACAAAGTGAGAGCTGACAGATCTCCCCATGTTTCAAAGCAGCAATGTCAAAGGGCCTTGGTCCGGCGAGTCACAGGGCAGCCCAGAGAAGAGCCAGGGAGTGAAAGTCCAGCTCCTTGCCACTCCCTGGGGACAACTCTGAGTCTCCCCAGCTGTCCTGGGCCATAACCTGCTCAGTCACACAGGGCCCCCCCGCACACCACCACACACACACTCTTCCCTATTGCTGCTCCCTAGTTTCACTTCCCACATAAACTATTCACACATTCTTGTCACGGTGCCTGCTGCTGGGCGACCACAAGCTGAGACAAGGCTGTACCTACTAAGCTTCTGCTCATTTCATCTCCCACCAGACTTAACTCCAAAAGGCTTTTCCTTGTGTAAATTCCTAGGGGTCTACAGTGGTTCATTTGATGATCAATTTGGCTGGACCATGGTGCCCAGGTATTTGGTCAAATATCATTCTAGATAGTTCTGTGAAGGTTTTTTTTTTTTTTTAAGATTTTATTTTTAAGTAATCTTTACACCCAGCTTGGGGCTCAAACTCACAACCCTGAGATCAAGAGTCACACATCCCACCAACTGAGCCAACCAGGTGCCCCAGATGAAGGTATTTTTTGGATCAGATTAACATTTAAATTCGTGGATTTTGAGTAGATTACCTTTCATAGTGTGGGTGGGCCGCATCTATCAGTGGAAGGCCTGACTAGAACAGAGATTGACCTCCTGGAGCAAGAGGGAATTTTGCCAGCTGACTGTCTTTGGACTCAGACTGCATCTCTTCCCTGAGTCTCCAGTCTGCCAGCCTTACTCCATCAGATTTTGGATGTCCATCTACACACAATGTTGTAGGTATAATGTTTATATTACATATAATGTCAGTTCTGTTTCTCTGGAGAACTCTGATACAGGGTCTGAAATTAGGAGAAAGGGGTCCTTTTTTTTTTTTTAAGAGAGAGAGTGAGCGGGGGGGTGGGTAGGGAAGAGGGAGAATCTTTTTTTTTTCTTTTTTTTCTGAGAGAGAGAAAATCTTAAGCAGGCTCCACACCAGCATGGAGCCTGATGTGGGGCTCGATCTCACAACCCTGAGATCATGACCTGAGCCAAAATCGAGAGTCCGATGCTTAACCGACTGAGCCACCCAGGCGCCCCCCTCTGCTCACTTATATTATAGGAGAAAAATGGAGGCAAAGGAAGACATAATTATTTGCTCAAGGTCATGCAGCTGTTAAGAGTTGGCTCCCAGAGTCTGGCTCCCAAGACCACGCCCATTCTGGGCAACCTGCAGCCTCTCTCAGAGTCCCTGGGGCAGTAAGAGACTCCACCCCCCGATAATGTCCCAGTTTATTAATGGACCACAGCTATTGTTGGATATTTGTACTGTTTGGAGGTTTTCGCTGTTAAAGAGCCTAGACCCTCTCGAACCTGAAATGTGGCACACTTGAGCCAGGCACCTTGTGACTTTCTCAATTATTTGGTCCATGACTTGTTATAACCTGTGTCCTTAATGTTCATTTCCTACCTTCTCAGGCTCTTCTGCCTCTGGCCTTTTTCCTGCTTCCATGTCTTTCTCTTTGATCTCCTCTTGCCAGTGCTGCTTGGAATCTGGTGATATGGGCAAGGAATCAGCTCTTGTTTGGCAGGAGCTTCTGCAGAAGTTCTAGAAGGCACTAGAAAGCACCAGAAGGTTTCTACTTGGACCAAAGTCTTCAATGAGGTATGGATATTTGTGAGACCCTGTAATACCTCCAGAGGCCTCCAGCAAGAGTTACTAAAAACCCCGCGATAGGTGGGTTCTGTCCTACTGAGGACTCTTCACTGTCATTCCATCTCAGGTTTTCCAGTGGTCATCTCAGCAGCTGTTCCCTATCACTGTCCTTGCTGAAGTTGGGAAAGGTCACTCCCTGCGTGCTTGGCTCTGTCTGCTCGGTATTTTGCTCTTGCCCCCAGTGTGGTTTCTGGTGTCCTATAGAGAGAATCAGCTCTGAGATCCAAGTTGGTATTATTTTTAGAAATAAAGATCATTCCATCTCAGCTTGCTGAGGCCTGTTCAGAGAAAGAAAACAGAGAAAGGCTTCATATTTTTCCAAAGTTCAAGTGGGAGTGGAGCATCATGGATGCAAAACTCCTGAATCATTGCCTGAACTGTTCTCTTTTGTTCCGAAGATGACCTTGCCTTCCAAATCATTCATCCATCAGGGGCCAAGGCTGAGCAATCCTAAACACACCTCTCTTTGTCTTATTCAGACCCTTCTTGGACAATTCTTCCCGCCCAACCTGAACCTGTCCCCCCACCCCGTCTTCACGTTTTTAGAACAGAGGAGATCATGTTTCTACTGATCGTGCTGAACCGGCATTTCATTTATCAGCAGTATCATTGTTTTCTTAGACTTGAAGACCAAAATTAGGTTGAATATGGACATGTCACCTTGTGCTGAGCAGAGCGGTTTTGTTCTTGCAGGAAATGTTTAGCGGGTCTGGACCCTCAAGGATCAGACGGGTCTTACAGAGAAAGAAAAAAATTGAAACTGGTCAAGTGAAGTCTCACTTCAAACTTCCAAGAGGACATTCTTTACAAAATGAGCAGAGGGGGGCGCCTGGGTGGCTCAGTCGGTTAAGCATTGGACTCTCGACTATTATATATAATATAATATAACATAATATAATATTATATAATAATTCCTACCTAGAAGGGTTTTGTGATGGGTAAGCTTGTTAAAACATGTCAGGCAGTTAGAACAGGGTCTGGCATATATGAACTATGAAGTGAAGGGAGGTGGGAAATATTTATACATATTTATTCATCAGGAGGCAATCGGGAAAAGGAACCACATTCGTTACGTTATTTTTATTTGTTTATTTTTAAAGATTTTATTTTTTTGAGAGAGATTGAGAGAGCACAAGAAGGGGGAGCAGCAGAGGGAGAGTGAGAAGCAGACTCCCCAGTGAGCAGGGAGCCCGATGCAGGGCTGGATCCCAGGACCCTGGAATCATGACCTGAGCCGAAGGCAGATGGTTAACCAACTGAGCCACGCAAGCACCCCTAAATAAATAATCTTAAAAAAAAAAAAAGAAAGGGGACACCTGGGTGGCTCAGTCGGTTATGCGTCTGCCTTCTGCTCAGGTCATGATCTTAGGGTTCTGGGATCGAGTCCTACATCGGGCTTCTTGCTCAGCAGGGAGTCTGCTTCTCCTTCGTCCTCTGCTGCTCCCCCTGCTTATGCTCTCCCTCTCTCTCTCTCTCTTTCTCTGTCAAATAAAACCTTAAAAAAAAAAAAAAAGATAGGCCAAGGGGCATCTGGCTGGCTCAGTTGGTGGAGCATGCGCCTCTTGATCTCGGGGTTATGAGTTCGAGTCCCACGTTGGGTATAGAGATTATTTAAAAGAAATAAAATCTTTAAAAATAAAATAAAAAATGAAGGTAGACCTGAATGAAAGTGTGGCCATAGGAGGGAGAAAACAGCACAGATGGGCATAATGGACTTCAGCATGTGAGAAGCGGTGTGGTCTACCCGCAGCCCTGAGAGTGGGGGCTGAGGTCAGCTGAGGATGCAGAATGTTCTAGGCCAGAGAGAGATTGTGGCAGGGGTCCAGTTCTCAGATCCCAAGGTCCTCCACGTTCTCAGAAGGAGTGGGAGCCGAGAAGATTGTGGTTGGAGACCAGAGATGTCCCAGATGAGAAGAGGGGGAGCCCCTCCCGCCCACAGCACAGCATGAGAGCAGGGAGGGCTTTGCAGGAGGAAGACAGGTGTTTGTGGAGGCTGTGTGGGGAGCTGGTGGGATGAGGACGCTGTGCCTGTCAGGGCAGGAGTCAGGGCTCCCTGGCCCGTGAGGGGACAGCTCTGGGGTCCGATGCCCCTGCACTCAGTCCTGGTTCTGCTGGATCGCCTGGGGCACTCCCTCATCCCACACCTGTGTTTCTTCATCTATAAAACAGTGACCATGGTAACACCTGCCCAGGGTTATGAGTTGGTGCATGTATGACAAGGTGGACGGAGGTGCCCAATGGGATCTTTCCTGTTTTCCAAAAATTACCTACCAGACCCCACTACCAAGAATAAAATGCATCCCACATTTTAAGTTCAGAAGACTAGCAGCTGGTGGGCTGGCTGGGAGACCTCTCAGCGCTGACACTACAAACACTGTGTAATCAAGAACTTGGCTGGCCTTTGTCCCCGGGTCCTCAGAGGTCACCTCTAGATCCTTGGAATTTCCCGAGTGATAGGAATGTCTGCTATTCATGTTTGGGCCCCCCAAGCCCCCAGATCATTGATGATAAACCATGTTATATGAGCTCAACCTGCAGGGAACAAAGGGGGCTGGAGATTGCATTCAATTGAAGGCCAGTAATTTAATCAAGGTGCCTACACAACGAAACCCCAATAAAACTCTTAGATCCCAAAGCTCGGGTGAGCCTTGCTGGTTGGCGATGCTCTGCCTATTGTCACACAATGATGTGTAAGAATGTGTAACTCAGGGGAGCCCTTTGGGAGAGAGTGTCTTGTGGGCAGGCCTGTGGGGCCCCTGCTTGTCCACATCACGTCTACAGGGCACTGGTTCTCGACCAGGTCATTTGGCCCCCGAGGGACATTTGGCAACGCCTATACACATTTTTGGTTGCAAAGCTGGGGAGAAGCTACCAGCATCTAGTGAGCAGAGGCCAGGGATATTGCTAAATTATGTCCAGGCCAAGCCCCCACGACAAGGAATGATCCAACCCCCAAAATGTCAATAGCGCTGAGGACGGGCAACCCAGCTCTAGAGAATGAACTAGACCAGCAGTGAAGACCCAGAGCCCAGGA